TTGTTGTTGATTTTATGTTCATTGAATTTTAAATTAGTTTTGGTTTGTATATTTCATTTTGTATGATTGTATTGTTTCATTAATTGTTTAAAGTAAGTGGACCCCTATGAAGAAGAAGAAAAAGCACTCGTGCTGAAAAGGGTGGTCTATCCCAAAAGTGGTAAATTAATAAACTTAAAGATAAAAATGAGTTCTCGTAATGCGATTGCATTGTGAAAGAAAAGGTGTGGAATGGATCAGAAACAGTTTATCATGTAGTATGTAAGTATTGGTGTGCACTGCAAGGTTCTGGAGTCATTAAAATCATTAAAAAACCTTGATTTCCTTGTCTTTCTATGCTCATTACTCAGCCAGTAAAATTGTTTGGCACATGTCATTTTTTTTGTAATCTTGAACATTCAATGTAAGTTTTGTTTGATTCTGTGAGAATTAATTTTCTTTTTTTTTACCAGAACTGGAGTTTATCTTTAATTATCAATTAATGCAATGTTTTGTCATATTTTCGTTAGCGTGCGTCCCCGCTATTTCTAAAGCAGGCTTTGGTTCTTCAATGTAGAAATATTCCTGAGATCGGACGTAAAGTTACCATGGATAGAAGATTCCTATACCCCATTTCCCTAATTCGACTGCATTCGTCGGAAAAAAAAATCGGGAAATTTGTGAATTGCATTGGTATTCGTATACCGCCGGTACAGCAATATGCCACAACATGTCAATAATACACAGACGGTTGGTCGGTATAACTAAGTATAAAGACGATAAAAGAGAAAACAAAGCTTTACATATATATATATATAAACATCGTCATTACAAACAAAAAAATCTCCAAACATGGATTATGTCGTAGTACTAACTCAAGCTCTTGCTCGTGATGCCTGCAAGGAAGGAAAAAAAATCACTGATGGCAAAATATTTGATACGCATCTCTTCTGAATCGACGGTTGACGAAAAAGTACACAAACCCGTTAATGAGATGGTTAACACTTTGCAGTTGATACAGGAGAAACACCGTCCACTGTCCGAGTTCTGTCCCCTGTAAGGATATCATTTGACTAGGAGAAAAGTTCTCTAAGACTGCCACTGGGAGAGAGGTGATGAAGAAGATGATGGTGTAGATCAGAAGCATCTTAGTCATTGCATCCCCCTGTGCTCGACATTGGCCTTTGTGGCGCTTGCTTCCACGAGCTGATGGTCTTTCTTTCCTCAGCATGCTTAGTGCGACTTTCCCTTTAGAGGTGGCATGTCTACCTTCCCTCCAAGCGCTAGCCGGAGCATTTATCTCATCAGAAAGGAAGACCGATCCACTGGGCCTCTCGTGTATCGCTTGCAGTAGTGTATCAGACACACATAGATGATGTTTGTCATTTGGTTCAACACTTGGGTTCAATGGTGATCTGGTCATTCTAGAACTTCCTCCTTTGCCTCTCGAAGAACCCGGCTCGCTGTTATTTCCGATACGACCTACGACCGCTGAAACAGAATTTATTCCAGTTGTGCGTTTTGGAAGGTTCTGCCTAACTTGTGAACCAGAGTGAGATTCCAGGCCTACATCATTATCGCATGCGTCATTGAAAACATCGTCTAGAGTAATGTCAGGGATTGTGCGAGACGGTTTCATTGTAACTCCCTTCGTTGGCAAAGTTTTCGTGAAAACCATGGCAGAGGAAGTAGATTCACTTGTTTCGTTCATATCGGAATCAGACGACCCATCAGGGCTTGATGTAGAGCGAGAAGTAAATAGACTCCCCGTATTTGGAAACGGTGGATTCATGCAATTGTGTGTCTCTGATGCTTGTGACACCAAACGACCCACTACAGGCTTGTCACTTTTATCTGAATAGTGGTTGATCGCCCTTTGCGACAGCCTTTCTCTCTGTCTCTTTATCTTCCAATAGATACTTCCATATGCAATTGAGGAACACATTATAGCGCATACAAATAGGACATCTACCACACATCCTGACAGTCCAGCCAACCAGTTAGGTCCATTGTAAACACAAATAGAGGACTCACCGGTTGAAATGACGTCCCCATAAACCAGGAAATGTACCTGTGAGAGGAAGCCGCACGCGAGTCCTAAAGCAACGACCAGTTTACTATTCCGCCTCGAGAATTTGAACCTCCAGGGATTACAAACGTGGGTGTATCTATCACAAGCGATGATGGTTGTCTGGATGACAGATGCCGCAGCCATACTACGTCTGCAGAAGTAGAGGGCCCGGCAAAAACTGACGACATGAAATCTGACATCTGCAGTCCACACAATGAGCCCTATCAAAAGGATGCAATATACGAGGTCCGTCGCAGCCAAAGCTCGAATGAATATATCCGTTGATGTCTTCCCTGACTTTCTTACAAAGACTCTGATTATCAGCCAATTTCCGAGTATGCCCACTGTAGAAAGTAAAGCCAGGAAAACCAAAGCAACGGCAGAAATCACGCTCTCCATTTTTAATTTGACGCTGATCGATGCCTGAGCTGGTGCTTGAATTGTTGGTAATGGACTGGCGTCAGGAATGAGTGGTTTCGTGCATTACAAGCCAAGTGATTTGTCCTATCACCAGAGGTTCCTTATACTTTAGGCCACCCTCAATGGAATGACGGTGGTAGTGCAGCAAGATCATCTCCCAGATTGTTGAAGATCACGAAGAAAATCTTTGGAGTAATGTAATTGATTTGCACCATAAAACCATATGAAGTACTCTGTTTGTTTCCCCATAAAACATGGTCAATTGAATGCAATCGATAGTGGTGTATGATCTGAGCATCTCCTTGAATGTTGATGAAAAATGAGTAAGCCCTTGAAGCGATCTAGAAACCATCTTCGGAGTGTTCCACGAGTTGTTCCGCAAATTCTCAAACACCGTCAATGAAATGAAACCACTGATCCTGCATGAGAACCTCCTTGAATGTTAAAAAAAAAACAATGAGCAAGTCCTTGAAGAGATCTAACAACGGTTACATAATAAAACCATCCTCGGAGCACTCCACGAGGTATTCCTCATATTATTGACAAAATCTTTGACAATGAAATGAAAGTGGTACGTAGTAGTATATGAAAATGTCCTTGATTGTTCAAGAGCAATTAAGAAGCAGCAATGCAATTCCTTGGAGCAATTTAACAACTTTTGTACCATAAAACCATAAAACCATCTCCTGTCGGGTTTCAAATCTCCCAATTCTGAGCCTTTTGTCCATCTCATTTAGTGGGGGGGTCATCATAAGTTTACTTGTATCATATGAGGAGGGGGTGGTACAGTTTTACCCGGTGGCTAAAATGGGAGATGCCATCGATAATAGGATATGGAATGGGTCGTATCACATCTTCTTCCCATGTTCCCAACCCCATTTTCACTTTATCTCAGTCCCCCTCTTTTTCTTGCTCATTTTTAGCCTTTTTTGCCATTTGATTTTGTTTTTAAGGGAATGGGGCACCTCCCGCAATGCCCCGCCTCCTTGTAGCTACACCACTGATCTCAGGTAATACCTAGTCAAATTCGTCATCGAAGACGAAAAAGCAATATCAAACACCTATAAATCACCATCGTCTACTTTTCCAATATATCTTGATCGTTATGACATAGATATTATCAGCCGGGTGGTTTTTGTAGTGGGTATGATTACAGCGTGGGTCAATAAAAAAAGAAACCCTTTACTCAATCCCCGATATTAAAATATCTCAATGCTGACACAGTAACCCATATTTTCATTATTAGCCTATAAATCACAATTGTCTACGTCTCCAACATCTCGTGATCGTAACGACATATATATTATTACCCGGGAGAGCAGCTGTCACGCTTAAAATGTTCGTCAATAAAAGGGGAAACAATATCAGAATATATCTTCGTAACCAATTATATTACTTTCATGTTTAAAATGTGCGTCAATAAAAGGGGAAACAATGTCAGGATATATCTTTGTAGCCAATTATATTGCTTAGATCCACTATAATTACGGCACGATAGTTTCAACTTTTACCCCATTTAAGGTAAAATAAAAAAGATAGCGATGGATAAAAAATCTGTACCGACAACTTGGATTATGGATTTAAGGAATCTTAATGGTATCTTGAGATATTGATGGTTGAATGATGGTTAAAAGTACTGGGTTTCCTATTTGATGTCAACATGTATAGTCATTGGAAACAAACAGACGAACCGAATTGATTATCGTCAGGATTAATAGGTTTCTAGTTGTTGTAACGGTGATGTTGTTGGTGATTCTCTCTCTCTCCCCTCTCGTCCTATCTCTCTCTCTCTCTAAATAGCACAACATGTCCTTACATGTCGTTAAACCCTGGGAGCTTTTGGAGTTCATACATGAGAAAGTATTTCAGTTATTGGATCCATTCGATTTACAACCCAATCTATCAAGTAATGCTTGAGCACTATTGCAATAACAATGAGTTTTGTATCAAGGGGCTTAGTTGACCAAAAGTTCACCAACCGTTCTGACAGACACAAACATATTTTACTTTACATCACAACTGACTAACGACCCGGCCCTTTTGTACATTACCTCTCTTACATCCCCCCCCCCCAAAAAAAAGAGTCCAATAATACGTTTGAAAAGATTATATTCGGCATTTTGTATGGCATGAATTATTAGATAATGCCACTTTTTATTCACCAACTATATAAGTATTGTCAATGTAATTCTGTCCCAGACATTTTCCTCTGATACAAAATTTGATACACCTCTTGTATTGTGTTCTACATCCGTTTATTGCTTTTTTATGAAGAGCTCTCTAGATAAAATCATGACATATATCAGACAACTCAAAGAAATTTGCAGCTTATCGTTAAGGACTCCTTACAAGTCGGAGACCTTTGTCAAGATTCCAATTAGGTTTGAGAGCCTTAGGCCTAGTCAGGGGGCGAAGAGCGCTTTGCACTTTGCTCCGTTAAATGTTTGCAATAGGAACATGATGGAGCCAAGTTCGTTTGCAAACCTATTTTAAAGTCAATTCTGACGCAGCAAGATAAAGTTTTAGAAAAGAATATAGTACTTGCGGTCTATTTGTGAACTAACACGGTTGCCATACGAACGTGCTGCAAAGTTGTGTGAGTATAATTATAAAGAATATTTATGTGCATGACTATAAGCTTTCTATTCTGTTTTTAAATGCTTTGAAAATGATATCTGAGTGCCGGAATAGATGGACCCTAAAATATAATACCTTTATGATCAAATAATAGAACAGCCTAAATATTGAAGTATTTAGAACAATTTGGAAAAACACAATTTTGAAAGGAAAGTATCTCAGCATATCGAATTAAAGTGGTATTGTTGTTCATTCACTTAATTTTAATCAAAAGGTGCGGTTTCCTTTCTCTGTCTTGCCCTAAGTTCTTTGGCAAGATAGATGGTAGCTTTACGTCCGATCTCAGGAATATTTCAACATTGAAGGACCAAAGATGCTTTAGCATGGCTGCCATCACGGCGCTGTAGCATTTCAAGGAAATCAACTGGGTCGAGTGTGGCAAATGTAGATTAATGTCTTGCCAAAGGACATTAGTGCTGCGGCGGGACTCGAACCGCGGACCTTGTGATCCACAGTCCGATGACTCGACCACGACATCTCTACACCTCTAAGAAGTATAGAGTTACTCCGTGAATATCAAGCGTTGGCTTTAAAAATTACAGCCCAGTGCTAACATAGATAATGTACTACATTGGCAACAATTCAAAATTAAATAATTCATAAAAGTCTGCAATGCATGAAACCTGAGATTATACTCGTATAGTAAGACAGTGACAACCAATGCTGCATGATGACTGGTGTATTTCTCCAAGAATGATAATGGATCATTTAATGTTCAATAAATACGCAGATCCTGTCTGGAAAGATCTATTGATTGCATGGAATCACTACAAGTACTACAACACAGTTAAATTAAAGAAATTATTTACCAGACACTTTGCCTGAATTCTCATATACTGGAAGGCCGCCGAAAACCTGTCAATATTAGACGTTTTGATTCTGATATGATATATGTTAAGGATATTTCGCACATTGATGGTTCATTTGTGTCTTTTGATCGAATCCAAATATTTCGAAGAAAAAATTGGATAAGACACATCATATGGGGGATAAAATCCTCAGTGACATCTGGATGGATGGTAAAGACAAGAAGTGAGAATTTCTAACTCCTTAGTAAATGGGGAAGAGGAAGACCAAGAAATGGAATGATGTCAGACTTGATAGGTGATAGATCATGATTAAGACATAATGAGGAAGTAGGCTAAAGAAAGAGTGGATGCATGGAGAAAGAACTAAAGAGGGATTCGGTTTGTGGACCTGCCTTTGGCAGAACATCTGACTGAGGCATTACCATACGAGATGTTTCAATGTATGACATATACACTGTACAAGCCTATTTTACGATATATTGAGGGAGCCAGGCGCCTTTGAATGCTTTTGCAGATAAATGGCGCTATACAAATGCTGTTCATCATCATCATCATCATCATCATATATTACTACGCGATTTTTAATTGATTCAGTAACATTATGAATAATGGCACAGGTACGAATAAAAAGTAATTTGCTCTGCAGAATTAGTTTGTTTGATAAAGTTGTCAAAGTTTGATTAGTCTTGAAATTATCTTGTACACGAAAGGACTGCCCTGCCGCAGTAGGCCTACAGCTACTATTTAACAGCAGTACTACATGTATGTCCATTCAAGTCCTCATTTCATAAATAATTAACAATTTTTTTTTACGTGAGACATGCACATCATTTTATAGTTCATCCGTTGATATCTCTACACGGCAGATTATTGAGTTATTTTGTCGCTTGAAGGCTTAAATAAACACTTAAGAGAAATGATGCACATACGTAAAGAAGCTTTATGAAATGTTTGCATAAAAGTTTATATCTATAGTATGATGAAAGTCCACATCAGCATTAAAGGTAATACAAAGTTTTGGTATGGGACCATGAATTTGGTTCAAATGAACATATTGGAAGCATATGCGATCTTACACTTGTCAATGATCGTTGTCGCCGTTGAAATCGAGTAAAAAGTGATGTAATTGTGAATGATAAACTCTTTATTTTGTATAGCTCCCTCTCAAAATCGGTATTACTTCGATATTTCTTGATTAAAATCGACCGGTTTTTTCTATTCCCGTTTGGAAATTATATATCAGAACTGCATATTCCGAGATGTTCAAGGTCGCAGCTACCATTATTGTATGGCCTTGAAATTTATTTAAAGCACCGATAAATTTGACATTTTTTATTTCTTGAAACTCTTCTAAATTTCTCGTTTTTGAGCCCATTTTTTTTTAAAAGTTGCTTATTCTAACACTAGATTTCAAAATGGCTATGCAAATTTTTAATTTCATAATTCAATCCTGTTGAAATATTACCAAAACTTTGTATTACCTTTAACTATAATTATTTATCTACGGTTCGTGGAAAGGTTCGAGGTACATATATGTATATACATATTGTATGATAGCCTGACTACACAGATCACTGTACATTTGTCTCCTATATTCATATCCGGTACATGTCATGATTTGATCTGTAAAGGGCAATCTTACCCTTGTAATAATTTTATTTATATGAAAACAGAAACGTAAAATAAACAGAATGGCGAAGTTTTAAATAAATCGGACAAATAATACAAAAGTTATGAATGTTAAAAATATGAGGTCACTGAGAGATCAATGAGAAAAAAACCCCACCCCTTGGTCTTAAATTTTTGAAAAATTATTTTAGTAATTTGTGTGTTGCAACAAATAGGGAAGTTGTCCGCCATTACATAAGAGAGTGAATCTACCAATTCAGCCAATTTAAAGAGCATACACTTATAATAATTACAACAAAACATTTTTTTTCCTTCATCCGTTTTCATTGATCCTTTCTGCTTAGTATAGTTTGCTATCAAGGTTGGATTTCCCTTGAAGGATGTGTAGCTTTAAAGAAAGTGCACTTTCTGAGAAACTTCTAACTCTTGGTAGATTCAGAGACAAACTTTTGATTACCAGTAACCCTTGCAGAATGAAAATAAAAAATCTTTACAGACACTGTGATAGTTAACAAAAAAGAAAAGTTTTGACTCAAGGGGACCCTCAATTATTGCGAATAATTTGGATGACATTGGTTTTCGAAGTCACAAGGACAAATTTATTTCACAATATGAAAATTGAATTGACCACACTGTGGATAATTTTTGTGAACTCATCTCAAAGCGTTTTCAAGTGTATCAGTTCTTTAGTTGTAAAAAAGTCTCCACTTGAAATGAAAAAAAATAATGTAAAAATGCAAAACCCTGAATGCAACATAAGAACCCCATTATAACCACATGCCTTTAATACATTTAGCATGTTTTGGCCGGGAGCGAATTTCACCAAGGAATATGTCAGGTCATCCTTGGAATTCTACAATGTGGATTCATTTTTACGAATACAATGTGCCCAGATAGTGCATACAAGGTCGGCACATGTAGAGGGTCACAAACTTCTTTTTTATCATTTTGTAAACGCACTATTATATTTTGACAATCTACACGGAAGGCATATTATCTATCGATTTCTCCTTTTTCCATGTTCTCCCCCCCCCCCTCTCTCTCTCTCTCTCTCTCTCTCTCTCTCTCTCTCTATCTATCTCTCTCTACCTCTCTCCGCTATCTCTCTGTGTCTACTATCGGCCTTCCTGTTCATATTGCATCGATATTCTATTTAATACAAAAAAAAAACTGGATCAAGATCACGGTCGTCCTAATTGGTTACAGACATGAACAAAATAATGATAACTTTCAGTTTGAAGTACATGCACTTTAGACAATTTCAGCACAGCTTGCGTGCAGTGATCCATGGTCGCTTTATGATGTCATGTCAAAGTCTTCAATCAAACCCTGTTGAGATTGCTGCTTGATGCCAGTCAAATTCTAAGACCATTGTGTCTTACTCCGAAGCTCTTTTGAAAGAAATAGCGAAAAAGGGAATATTGCCCAGGAATTCTTTCGCTCAGTTATTGCCAATAATGATCTTAGAATTGCTTGTTTGGGTTTGGGCAAGACGGCAAACGAACCGTTGCAGGCTGGGCGCTTTTATCGATGGATCGCTCGTCGCGAACACGACACGGGGAGCACGGGGTCATTATTTATCTAATGTTAGCCTAAGAATTGTCGTACAAATGAAAACAAATTATATGTCAACTTGCGATCACTGCTTGACGGGTGTTCGAGCAAAGATCTGTTTGCCTTCGAAGTAATGTTCAAATACGGCATAATCACTCAGTAAGCATGTCGGAGTGATCTATACCAGGCAATCCATATGTGATTTCTACGGACCCAACCTGATCGGAACATTCTGTCATGTCATTAATTGCTATTTACACCTACAGAAGATGTCAATGTTTTGCAAAATAAATTATGCATTCTTAATCTTTAATGGAAATGAATAAAGCAAGCAATAAATAAATCAATACCACCAAAAAAAAAAAAAAAAAAAAAAAAACGCTTGCAACCGTACCAGTTGCCCTTTCCAGCGAAGCTCCTTGATATTACATTATGCCTCGAGAGATTCGACCTTAGCACTAGGTGTATGTTTATTGTCCCTGTGGGGTGGCTACGGGGGGGGTAAATGGGGGACGCGCCCCTCCAATCGAATAACAAATATAAAATTGGAAAAATTGGAGCAAATAACAAGAGAAAAAAGGAAAGGGAAAATGGGAAGGGTGACACAAAAGACAGTAGCATGCTTTCCCATTTATCAGAGACCTTGAAAGTTAGCATTTCATTTCCAGAGTGAAATCGGTGTACCCTCCCCTCCCCGTGACCCCCCCCCCCCCCCCCCAATTCCATGATTCTCGTGCTCCCTCATTGGCTGGACTCGGGATACGCCACTGTCTGATTCAGTGAAGTTCACTGAATGCTGAACCAAACGCGTTGGTGCCTACATTTCATACTTAGTACCTGGGCTACCGTCACACAGCATCAACAAGTCTGTCCTCTACCATTAACTACTAACTTTCTTCAACCATGATTACAGGAAGTTTGCACCAATACACAACAGCCATCCCACGCAATGTTTGTTTGGTCCATTATTTGAGCAGCCTTTAGTGTGTATGATCGTACGATGCTTGGATTTTCTTACTTGTGAACGTACTCTCGTTATTTTGCTTCTGCATTGTTTTTCTATTGGTAAAGAACCCTTGGGGAAGGATCCGTCCTGAGACAGAAAAATGTCTTGGTAAGTCCGACTTGATTCGTTTCATTGCGGCACTTGTTACTTGACCTCTCTTTGGATTGCGTTTGTGCTTTCAAATTCAGGACATATTCTGCATAGACACACGGCCAAGTCACATCAGCATGAGAGCGATCGAGTGTGCGATTCATTATTCTGACAATATTCTATGTGGTTGCTTTCTATGTAGATTAAGTCCCAACTTTATCGATTTACATTATGACTGTTCGTTTAATTCTACATAGTTATTTCCGCACTCTTCAATGACGAATACTTATTTATATTTGCTTTACATTGTGCTATGTTGATTCCACCAACTTTGTTTCATGTATGATTTTATTCTCTTAGGAACCTTCCAACAAATTTGTAGCATTTACTGCCACTTTATACATGCCTTTGCCTGCCCCCACTGTAACTCATTAATCCTTGATTTAGAATTGACTAGTACAACTACAAGCAAGTCATTTGATTTCGTATATTTTACTTTGCCGTGTTTAATAATGAGACCTTTGTACTCTGTTTGTTCCTATTTTGGATGAGTGCAATTATTGACTGATTATGATTGCGGACTCTGAGGTTTCGGCTTTGTGTAACTAGACACAATAATAAGTCTTAATAATTATTTTCTCCCTTTGACCCTCTCTCTCTCCCCCCCCCCCTCTCTCTCTCTCTCTTTCTCTGACTCTGTCTGTCTGTCTGTCTCTCTTTCTCTGTCTGCCTGCCTGTCTGTCTCTGTCTATCTTTCTCTCTATTTTTGCTTCTTATTTATCATGATTCTAAAGTTTTCGAGGCAAGATGACGTCCCACACAAAGCTCTCAACAGGGATATACCCTCATCACGTGGTTATCGAAGAAGAACGAGGGGAGAAAATTGTAAGTACGGAACAGACTTTTAATTGCTGCGATTAATTCTAAGCGTTTTTTTATCACGCAATATCATTGTTTCGTTGACCTTCAGTGATTCTGTAATGAACGTTTGGTGGTAGAAAAGTTATCACGCATGATTTTAAACTGGGGCGGTAACGTGGGCCAAGGCACCGACGAGGGGGCACCGGCAGCACAAAAAAGGGGGGTGTGGGGAAGGCACCGGTCTTTCTTAGTCGATGACAGGTAGATAACAAGGGTAATGGGTCATGGTAGGGTGTAGCAAGGGTTCGCACCATCATTTCCCCCTTTTTTTTGCCATTTTGAGGTTAAGGTGGTAAGCGCTCCGTTCCCCCCGCCTACGCCCTGCCCTAAAAAGGTCAACTGCCCCATTCAATAACTGTATCGGCCATGAACTCGACCCGGATTCGTTAAATATTTATTTAGGTTGAGTCAACAAGACCAACAACAATTAAGTGGTCCAGTAAAATACTTCGCGAGTGACGGGGCGAGTGACCCGTGGTGCCCATACCGTTTAACAGCAACCCTGATGTAATGTCATAACCATTTCCTTTGTAACATTTCAAATTCCGTTTGGCTTTGAGTACAAGTAGATTGCGTTTGTGTTTTGTCGAAAAAGTGCGCGTATTCTTTCCTTTCCATAGTAAATTCAAACAAAATTGTATTTCCCTAAAGGACAATACCTAGTTTATAAAGTTTGAAAGCCATGTTATTCAACGCAGAATGTGTATTTGTAGCAGTAAACGAAGTGCGTATTAGTTGGATGTGCTAGTATACCGCATTTAAAGATTAAGCTTAAATTATTAATATGACCCACACACTGATTAATGAGCAATGTGTAACTTAACATGTGTTCAAATGACCTATGCTTTATGTACTGTATATAGTTGTAACCATGTGAAAAAAAGAATTTCCACTTAATGTGGACAATAAAACAAATCAAATCTATACCTCTTTACCTTTCCCTACGTGTATCTTTCTCTTTTTTCTTTTGTGTTCATTTAATATCGGTTCGATTTATTTCAAACCGTTCGCCATTCTGTTTCTCTCGTTCGATTTTACACATATGAACTTATTACAAAGGTTGAATTGTTAGTACAAATATAAGAATTACGCGCTGAACTTGAACTGTCGTCATTGAAGTTCGGTAGAATGAAAAGTACGCATAACAATTTATTTTTACTTGTAGGAGTGTTGGGGGTACAGAAAGAGTAACATTCGCACTGTTGCAGTATACGGTGCGGGCATCCTGACCTGCGGTGTACTATTCCTGATCATATTTTATTGGAAACCCGACTGGGGACTGCGTCTTACCCATGCCAAATGTCCAAATGAACACGCCGACAGCCTGATAGTGAAGGTAAATTTTCAAAGTTTGAAGACATGTTTTTTATTTTTTTTTATTATTATTTTCTAGAGTACTGTTTTTGTCTCATTGTCGTTTCATTCTGAATCTAATCCATTGAAATGAGATTCAAAATAACGTCAAGAGAATTTCTGTTAGGGAGTACTTGCATTTGTTTGGAACCTAAAAACACAAGTATTTCGCAATGCAAGAACATCATACAATGACGTACTGTCCATTCCGTTAAGTTTGATTATAAGTATAAGTATAAGTATAGATAATCTATTCTGGTAATGGCATATAATAATTATTGTTTCTATATCTTTCAATTTAACACCTCTCCCCCTCTCTCCCCTCCCTCTCCCTCCCTCCCTTTCTCTCTCTCTCTTTCTCTCTCTTCTTCTGCGTCTCCGACGTGATTTTCCTTTTCTTATTCCCTTGTTACTTTCTCTTTTTCCTTCTATTTGTCTTTTAATTTTGCTATTCATTTTCTACTTCCTTTCATCTTTTCATATATTTTTAAAATCTGTCTTCGATTCCCCCTCTCTATCTCTTTATCTCCTCCTCCCTGTCTCTCTCTCTCTCTCTCTCTCTTTCTCTCTGTGTCACTCTCTGGCTCTCACGGCACCCCTCTCTCTTTCTCTCTCACTCTCCCTCCTGCCCCCTCCCCCTCTCTCTTGCTCTTAATTCATTAATTCCCAGGATATCTATGCAAGGGACCATAAATGTAAAATCATTAGAGAACGTGTCATCGGAGACTCGGACATCAGGTAACATTCTCTCTTATTTTCCAATATCGCGCACTTCACTTAAGAATCAAAATGAAATTGTTGACAATTAATTACGCCAGCAATATTTGTATAGGATTGCCTTTAATCGGCCAACCAAATTACTTCACTACTGCTCAGACATTGAAAATACATCTCCATTATACATATTGAAGGACAAAAACACAAGTCCGAATCTATTAGGAGACCAAAATATGTGTGCATCGTAATACAAAATTGGGTTTCGCCCCCTTAAATCATTTTTAGGCCGCCATCCTAGTCAAGCATCGCTTAAGATTGTGGTCTCCTGCACTTTTTCAACAGATAGTTCGGATAATACTTTAAATTAATGATAATATGTTATGTTTCGTTATTATATGTACATATGTAAGAAAGAAAATGTTAACATGAAGAAATTAATGTTTGTATATGTTGTATTATACCTTACATTTATATCTTCTTTGTTATTCAGTTATATTTTGAAAAATGCAGAAATGAAATAAAATAAAATCAAAATATGTCTCCCCCCCCCCCCCCACAGCGATGGGCCGACTCTCTCACTGCCATTGATCAACACAGTAACACAGCGAGAGACGAAACTAGACAAGGGGCACATGAGATACTTCAAATTTCAGAAAGCGGTTTATATTTGGGATTCAGATGGACAGCTTTACTTTAAGCTCAGGTATTTTTCAAAATATTTAAATTAGTAAAGATGTATTTTTCCAGAATCCGTTTTTCCTAAGTGTGTTTGGTCATTCTGGAGGTTAGTTATTTCGAAGGTTCGTTCATTAAACAGTTGCCAGTTTGAAACTATCAGTCAACGAGCATTAAGATTCAAACATAAAGTTGTATTGTATTGTATTTATTAAACTTATTGATGTACATCAATATTCTGTTTATAAACATAATTATAATAACTTTACAATGTAATGTAACAATCAATATTCTGTTTGGGAACATATACATCATATAAGTCAGATTACAATGTTATGTAACATATCAATATTCTGTAAACATATATAGCGTATAAATCAATTTACAATGCAGTGTTTATAGCAAAACAAAAGGAAAATTATATTCAGCAGAAACACTCTTTTTTCTTTTAGTAACTTGTATGATCAAAGAGGCTTTGGATTTCTGTAGGGTAACAAGTCTCGCGGAATAATGATCATTTTGATTGCCTAACATTTGGATAAAAGCACAGTTTGATTGTCGCACCTCTAGGTTATTAAGCATGATTGAAGAACCACTTTATTAATAAACATTTTTGATTGACGAACCTTTGGACTAATCAACATTTTCATTAATTTGACGAACCTTTGGATCAGTGAACATTTTGATTAATTTGACGAACCTTTGAACTAGTGACATTTTGATTGAATAACCTTTGGACTAATGAACATTTTGATTAATTTGACGAAGTTTGGATAAATAAACATTTCGATCTACGACATTTTGGAATAATGAACATTTTTAATAACGAACCTTTGATTAAACATTTAACATTTTGATTAAAGAAACACTTGATAACAACACACTCTGAATTGATAATTCGTTTTTTTTTCATGAGGTTAATCGGATTGCCGAATCTTTGAATGTAATGACAGACATTCGGACTGAAGAATACTTGGGGGTTTAGCACAAGAAGTTTGACAATGTGACAATTAGTGACATTTTGATTGAATAACCTTTGGACTAATGAACATTTTGATTTATTTGACGAACTTTGGATAAATAAACATTTCGATCTACGACATTTTGGAACAATGAACATTTTTAATAACGAACCTTTGATTAAACATTTAACATTTTGATTAAAGAAACACTTGATAACAACACACTCTGAATTGATAATTCGTTTTTTTTTCATGGGGCTAATCGGATTGCCGAATCTTTGAATGTAATGACAGACATTCGGACTGAAGAATATTTGGGTTTAGCACGAGAAGTTTGACAATGTTTGATAATCAAAGAAGGAAGCTACATACATGATCCATTATCATAGCTACCTTGGGTGTTAGAGCTGAATAACGCATGGATTCTTATATTTCTTCTTCAGTCATATTTCCATATGGGAGGGTTGAAATATAATTATCTATCAAAATATCATTTTGACCGCTCTCCTTGGAAATATACCCACTTCTTCTATCGTTTTTTCTTCTTACAGAGGCCTTGCACACAACGTCCCCTGTTCAGATTTCTATGATATCTACAGCAAAGGACTCGACGAAGAAACAACTCAAGAAAGGTAGACAGATTCTCATTTCGGATCGTAAGATTTATAATAAAAAAATGATAACGCTTGCCTTAAGCACTAATATACCTTCCCTCAAAATAAAGATCATCAAATAATCATCTCCATTCGATTACGTTCGGTATAGGGGAACTTTATCTAGTAAACTATAAAGACTGAAATAACAGGAGTGAAAACTCAATGTTTGCATTCAATTTGCAGTTATAGATACGAAACCTTGTATTATGTAATATCTTTTCCCCCCAATGAATCTGCGTTAGATGGAGGCAACACATTCGAAATCAGTATAAGTTTTATTCAGTAAACTAGAGACAAATATTTGGTAATAAGCTGGCTTAACAGCATTGTAAAATGGGCTATCGTTTCTTCAAGGCCTTTGCAGTTATATGAATATTTCCGTGCGATAAAGGATTTCATTATTGTCCACTTGCATATTGCTGCCTGAAATGCGTTTTAACTGCAGTGGACTTATCCACTGTATACTCACTACACCCCCCCACACACACACACACACGTAGATACCCACGTCCATAATGTCTACTCTCATGATTTAGAATGGGGGTCGTTCTTACACACTCCCCCTAAGCCCCACACGCGCATACATATAGTGGGGGCTGTTAGGGCTAAATAGGGGTTGTTTGGTGCAGATTCTTCTAAAAGCACCAAATTTGGCCCAGAGGTAGATTATACCACACTTTTACAATTTCTGCCGGACGCTAAGAAGGGCACCCTCTGGGTATGCCATATTGGGCAAATCCGAAATGGCCGCCATCTGAGTTAAAGGTCAAGCGTAGTTCCAAAAGAAAAATCGCTTGTATGATAATAATTTATATATTGATGGGGTTTTGGGGGTCAGAGAATCTGATGTTGATGTTCTTTCATCGATTTGAGGTCTCCTAGGGGCTGCCATACTGGTCATATTGGTCAAATCCAAAATGGCCGCCATGTGATAGTTACAGGTCAATAGTAGTTCCAAAAGGAAAGAGCTAAAATGATAACAGTTTATGTATTTATGGAGTTTTCGGGGTCAGAGAATCTGGAATCATGTTCTTTTACCAATTTGAGGTTTACTTGGGGCTGTCATGCTGGTCATATTGGTCAAATCTAAAATGGCTGCCACCTTTGAGTAAAGGGTCAAGTGTAGTTCCAAAAGGAAAAGGGCTAGTATGATAACAATTTATATAGTAAGGGGTTTTCCTGGTCAGAGAATCTGATTATGATGTTGCTTGTATCAAGTACAGGGCTCCTTGGGGCTATCATGCTGGCCATATTGGCCAAATAAAAAATGGCCGCCATCCGAGTTAAAGGTCAAGCGTAGTTTTAAAAGGAAAAGGACCAGTATGATAATAGTTGATGAATTCATGGGGTTTCCGGGGTCGGATAATCTGATTATGATGTGCTTTTATCAATTTTATGTCCCCATCCTGTCCTAAGGCTACAATGAAGTCCATTTCCTGGTTGAAGAAGATGAGGGAAGATGCGCCAAATTCATACCTGAGTGGGTATAAATCTTGGCCTGCGCCCATATGTTTCATCAATAGGCAAACTTTCCTCTGTGAAATGCATAATAAATTCGTTTTCGAGGATTGGCAGGGAAAGTAGATAAACAGTAGAAACAGACCATGGATAAAGAAATAAACAGATTGTTCGATTTGTTTTGAAGCATTATATTCAAAGACCCGGACAGCTTTATCTGTATTATCCATATAAATAACGTCTATAATCACTCTCAGATGGGAGATAATACCAATACGAAATGTATTAAGCAACGTCTAGACATAAAGGTGGAATCTCAACTTTATTTTTCTCATACTCTACAATTCGAAGCTTTGCATGGGATCTTAATCCTGTTTTTCCTACATACATCAATGCCCCCATTTAAGCATACTTTGAATCTGTTCACGCTTCGAAAAGTTCGTGGTCTTACCCTATTATCCATACAAAATAACGTCTATAATCACTCTGAGATGGAATAAAAACCAATACGAATTGCACTATGCAACGTCGAGACATGTGACCTTTGTAAAAATTCGTTCCCGATTTTGGCGCATGCGGAGTATCTAATTACGAACTCGCTTATTGATGAAAGAACATCATAATCAGATTATACGACCCCGGAAACCCCATAAATTCATCAACTTTTATCATACTAGCCCATTTCCTTTCGAAACTACACATGACCTGTAACTATCAGATGGCGGCTATTTTGGATTTGACCAATATGACCAGTATGGCAGCCCCAAGAGACCTAAACTCAATGAAAGAACATCATAATCAGATTCTCTGACCCCCAAAACCCTATAAATATATAAACTATTATCATACAAACGCTTTTCCTTTTGGAACTACGCTTGACCTTTAACTCAGATGGCGGCCATTTTGGATTTGCCCAATATGGCAGTCCCAGAGAGCGCCCTTCTTGGCGTCCGGCAGAAATCGTAATAGTATGGTATCTACCTCTGGGCCAAATTTGGTGCTTTTAGAAGAATCTGCACCAAAATATCCCTAACAGCCCCCACTATAATGTCTACGCCCATGATTTAGAACGGATGTCATTCTCACATACCCCCCCCCCCCCCACGCTAAAACCCACATCCATAATGAATTCTCTCATGATTTAGAATGGGGGCCGTTCTCATACACACTGCCCCAACACACGCACACATACCCACATCCATAATGTCTAGTCTCATGATTTAGAATGGATGTCGTTCTCACAAACTCCCCCACACGCACACACACCATATCTACTTTCATCATTTAGAATGGGGGTCGTTCTCACACACACACGCACATATACCCACATCCATAATATCTACTCTCATCATTTAGAATGGGGGCAGTTCTCAGACACTGGCTTTCCCTACACACGCACACATACCCACATCCATAATATCTACTTTTATCATTTAGATTGGATGTCATTCTCACACACTCCCCCACACACGCACACATACCCACATCCATAATGTCTAGTCTCATGATTTAGAATGGGGGTCGTTCTCACTCACTGCCCCTCCCCCACACATACCAACACCTTAAAGGTACTATGTCCCATTTGCAGGCCAAAAAATGAAAAAGGTAAATTCCAACTGCACTTGAAAGATAATACTAATTTAGAACTTCCCTAAAAAAGGTAGGGCTTGAAAATGTCACAAGATGTGGGTTATTGATGTAGACAAATGCTCATGTACCCTTTACAACTCTTTTCATGTATGTTATTACCAAAGAAGAAAAAAGGCCAGTCAGTCACTCAATAGTGTCTGACAGTGAAGTCTAGCAAGTAAAAGGGTTTCCTTGCATAATTTGAATATGAGGACACTGCTAACTTTTAAATTTCACAGATAGGACATATATATTCATAATTCCTGCAAAGTTCTACATAATTTGAGGTTGGCTGCAAAAGGGACATAGTACCTTTAATATGTACTCCCATGATTAAGAATGGAGGTCGTTCTCACACACACACGCACACATACCCACATGCATAATGTCTACTCTCATGATTTAGAATGGAGGTCGTTCTCACAAACTCCCCCACACGCACACATACCCATAGCCATAATATCTACTCTCATCATTTAGATTGGGGGTCATTCTCACACACACACGCACACATACCCACATCCATAAGGTCTACTCTCATGATTTAGAATGGAGGTTGTTCTCACACACTTCCCCTCCCCCACACGCACACATACCCATAGCCATAATATCTACTTTCATCATTTAGAATGGGAGTCGTTCTCACACACACACACGCACACATACCCACATCCATAATATCTACTCTCATCATTTAAAGTGGGGTTCGTTCTCCCACACTGCTCCTCCCCCACACGCACACAAACCTATATCCATAATATCATGATTTAGAACCGAGGTCATTCTCACACTCTCCCTCACACACACGCACACAAACCACATCCATAATATCTACTCACATGATTTAGAATGGAGGTCGTTCTCACAAACTCCCCCACACGCACACAAACCCACATCCATAATACCTACTCACATGATTTAGAATGGATGTCATTCTCACACACCCCCACACGCACGCATACCCACATCCATAATATCTACTCACATGATTTAGAATGGGTTGATTCTTAACCGCTGCTACTAACCTGGAGAAAACATCTCTGTGTTTTACCACACATTCATTGCGGTATGTAAATATTTATTTTGTTTCAGTCAATGTAATAGACTTGAGATTATTTTAGGGTCATTGCCTCGACGTGGTCCTGAACAGAGCTAACATTCTAGAAACAAATTTACTGGATGATTTGTTATGGATTCCCGCAATTAAATCGATAAACCCTGCTGGAAAGAACATACTCATTCACAGTGTGAAATCACAGTTCACACTGTGAACACATTGAGAAACACAGTGTGATTCACACTGTGAATGAGTGTGAATGCGTGTGTTCTTTCCTTTTCCGGTTATCCACACTGTGAACCACAGTGTGAAACGAATCGACCACAATGTGAAAACGGCCCAATTTAACATTGTGGAGCACACTGTGATTCACAGTGTGAAACATAGTGTGATTCACACTGTGAATTAGTGTGAATGCATGTGTTCTTTCCTTTTCCGGTTATCCACACTGTGAACCACAGTGTGAAACGAATGGACCACAATGTGAAAACGGCTCAATTTAACATTGTGGAGCACAGTGTGAAACACATTGTGATTCACACTGTAAATGAGTGTGAATGAGTGTGTTTTTTTCCTTTTCTGGTTATCCACACTGTGAACCACAGTGTGAAACGAATGGACCACAATGTGAAAACGGTTCAATTTAACATTGTGGAGCACACTGTGATTCACAGTGTGAAGCACAGTGTGATTCACACTGTGAATGAGTGTGAATGAGTGTGTTTTTTCCTTTTCCGGTTATCTACACTGTGAACCACAGTGTGAAACGAATCGACCACAATGTGAAAACGGCCCAATTTAACATCGTGGAGCACACTGTGATTCACAGTGTGATTCACACTGTGAATGAGTGTGAATGAGTGTGTTCTTTCCAGCAGGGAATTCATTAAACTTTGCATCTAGTTTCCACAAACCCTTGCAACAAATACTTACTTTTATGTATGTCCGCTTCCTAGACAGCAGCTTTATGGTCTCAATGAGATACAGGTACGCGTCCGGCCAATCCTGGTACTTCTTTTACAAGAGGTACGTAATCACAGATGTGCATCATGTATAACCTTTTATTCCAGGATTGTTTAAAGTCTATATTCATATCTCTGAATTTGTGTGCGAATATAAATGACAAAATCTTATTATTTCTGTCTATTGGCCTCGAAGCTTGTTTTGGTACCACGCACTCTCATTTTTTCTAATGGTGAAATTCAACATATTCATAGTCGTATTCATATTATTATTATTATTATTTTTTTTTTTTTTTAAACATTTTTTTTGGGGGATAAAAATGTGGGTTGCCTTTCTTCCTGTCAATCGGGAAAATGTTATAGTGATGCTCTGAGGAGACAAATCTCTGCTGGATGTATATACTTGCTTATCTTGTATTTCAAACAATTCTTACGATATCCTTTTTTTTTTTAAATCAAATGAATTAGTCATTCTGTTTTGATTTTGCATTGTTTCTTGCCTTCGTTTTTCTTTTAATGGTACTTTTCTTTTTAGTCCATGATTACTGGTTCTTCTCATTAAAAAAACCCTCTAAATTTTAAATGAAAGCAAAAACTGTTGAATTTATTTCAATAGATCTATTTGAATTTGATGTAAAACTCATCTATGTCTACTATTTTTTTAAAATTAATGTTGGTGTAGGTGATGAACCCTTTTTACATCTTTCAACTCTTCGTCGTCATCTTCTGGTTTTGTATCAACTACATCTACTACACGCTTTGTATCGTGGTGATGTCAGCTGTTTCTATCTCCGTCTCACTCTATACAACGAGAACGGTGAGCTTCCAGATATTTCATTTTAAAGATTTTTTTTTTATTTTTTTTATTTATTTATTTCTGCATACGGGCGGAACACCCATGTTTTTACAAAAGAAACAAGACAATAAATCAAATACACATAAATGTTACGGCTACATGCACGTCTTCTTTATCTACTACTTCTTTGTAAACATCTTATACATATTGCTAATGTGTCAGTGACTTAAACTGTTATCACGTCTTTCTTCAATGCTATCGAATTCAGTTACAGTGTTTTGTATTTTAATCGGGAACCTATAATTATAAAAGCTTGCTTGCTAGTTTCCTATATTTCACATTATTATTTCTATGTGTTATTTGCCTATCATTGTTTTTTAGTTTACACTGTCTTGTTAAATATAATGTGTATGAGACTGCATTGTTATTTTGAATATTAAATAAGTAAAAAAAAAAAAACTAATTTTACCCTGAAAATATGTTTGTTCTATTGAGAGTAGAAAATGAGAGAACCAGCTAGATTAGTGAACATTTAGAAAAAGGATAGAGAATATGAACTTGTGAACTTAATAAGTTCAAATTGATAATTTGCAAAACGGCAACTCTGTGACGCACCTGTGTATCCCTCCCATTTGATTCCTACAGAAAGTTCCACACATTTCTATTTTCACGGCTGTTGACTCTGAAACGGAAATTTTATATAGAGAGGATGTACATTAGGCCTTATCCAAATGCTAAGCCTAAGCGTGCTACCCAATCACAATTATTGCCCGAATCCATTATCTTTGATGAAATATAGCCCGAAGCAAACATCGCAAGAGTAAAGTTCATAATAATGAACATGTTTGCCTATCATATCACGGACATATACGTCAGGATATATTTATCGTCTTATTTGATCAGTATTCATCATTCCAATTCCTCAGTGCATGTGCTTGTAATCTAATTCTCAGTTAGGGGCTTATTAAGATCAGGTTTTATTGATCTTCCCCATAAATGTCATTCCTCACATTTTTAAATTTAGTTTACTCATCTTTTATTTTCTTTCATGTTTAATCGATAATTTTCATTTAAAATGAAATATCACATAATAAGTTCATAAACCATGGTGGATTATACTATAAAAACATAAATGACATGAAATGTACACGTGTCTACATACATTAGAAAAATCAATCAATTGTCAAAAAACTATTATTATTATTACTAATGTCAACAAAAGTACATAACATAACAAGAGACAAACAGTAAACTAAGCTTATCAGAAAGCAAAACAGTAAAACAGAGAGCAGGCACCTGGCCAAATGAAAATGAAAATAAAAATGTAAAACATAACCTCTCATTCTACCCATTCAATACACTCTTGCTGGTCAGTGGTGGAGCCAGAATTTCAATTTAGGGTGAGGGTGGGAATATTATTTTCTGGTAGTTAATACAATTTCAATTTGGCTACACATCACTGCAACACCAAACGACAGCTACAAATAGCGAGGGAATGTAGATATGAAGTAACAATGTGCTGTCTATTACGATTTCCTGTGATGATATAATATATTTTGTTTCCATATTTTAAGAATTATAGTTCCGTTGAAGGCGTGTCATGAAATACCACGGTTACATAGTTACGTAGCTCCTTGTGCATCGTCCATTAAAATGCTGCGCTGACCTATTTAATAGACATTTACGAGATCATTATAGTTGCAAACAACATGTTGAAATTAAACTAACTAAAATATCTACGCAAGTAATTAAATATCTTTCGATGACAGATTCCATTTTATCGATGGTTAAAACAAGGTTAATAGCACAATTTAGGAAGACATCAACTACTGTAATTGTATTTAAAGTTCCTACGTTATTTTACAAAGGTATCATATTTTGTTAATTGAAAATAAAACATTTCTTCGGTGACAGGAAAGCACTCGACTTCGGACGATGGCAGAGGTTCATGAAACGGTGGAAGTTTTACGCAGAAACGGAGGTATGTTATATTAAATAATATGGGTGGTATTCTCGAAAGCGGACTAACTTTAGTCCATGGTTTAATCCACCAACTCATTATGGAATGCCAAGTGTCCATATGAATATTTTTTCTAATAATTTAATCTGTTACTAAATTAAAATAAAATGTACATAACACGATATTTACTTGGGTAATATCCCAAAGTCTCTTTATCCCCCCCCCCCATAATTGACACATATTCAGCTATGGTGCCCCCACCTGTGAAAACGTGGGTGCAGTCTATGAAAAACGACCAAAGTGTGTAACTCGTTTGGGATATATTAAAACAAATAAACAAATAGGTGGATGTTAAGTATGTACAATGTTGAGTACATCCCATAAGATCAGAAAACAATCACGACTTTTTTTTCGTCTCAATGGTCTTTTGTTTGTTTTTTCATTTTATGTTGGGGCGTCGGTTTAGATTTTGGTAAGGGGTGGTTTTGTCAGGCCGAAGACAGGGATGGGTTAGTTTTTTTTCCTCGTAATTTCAGAATCCAATCGATTGTACAACTCCAATGAAAAGCGATGGCCCATTGCCATGCCCCCTAGCTCTCTTCTCCCATTCTGAATATGCATGACCCCCTCTCCTTCCATCATCCTCAAGATGTATAGACGCCCTTGAATATTTGATATTGAATAGTACCAGCAACCTCTTGATAACTCCAGATCGTGAAACAGTGCCTAACTCGGAGCTTGTACCTGGTGACGTCATCATCATCCCGACCAATGGCTGTAGTCTAACCTGTGACGCAGTACTTCTCTCGGGCAACTGCATCGTCAATGAAAGTATGCTCACAGGTAAGTGTGAAGCATTATATTGGCCACAATTTTAATGAATGTTAAAGATAAAGGTGAGTTCTGGTAATGCGATTGTATTGTGAAAGAAAAGGTGTGGAATTGATCAGAAAAAGTTGATCATGCACTGCAAGGTTCTGGAGTCATCAAAATCATAGTAAATTTGGCCCAGTCTTGGTAAAGTATCAACCACTGTACACAGAAAGATGTATATGGGACTACACAAATGGTGTCGGGGCTAGCTTACCTTGATTTCCTTATCTTTCTATGCTCATTACTCAGCCAGTATTCATTTTCTTCCAAAATGGTTTGGCACATGACATTGATTTGTAATCTTGAACATTTAGTGTAAGTTTCGTTTGAATATGTGAGAATTCATTTTCTTTTTTTAACCAGAACTCAAGTTTATCTTTAAGATCGAACACAAAGTTAGCCTGGCACTATCAATTTATGTTAGGCCATTTTAGCCACCATAATCATATTTCGAAATTGGCCTGTTATGGGTTCAAATTTAATGATTGAATAACTCCATAATGTCGGATAAGGAGAATCGGTTAACGTACATGTACTAAGTTTTTCGCATAAAATGGCGCCATACAAGATTGGACGATCACCCTTTTACATTAAAATTAAACGCAATGGTATAACACGAGGTAAGAAATAATCAGTCTCCCATCCTCTTCTCTCTCTCTCTCTCTCTCTCTCTCTCTTCCACCCTCTCTCCCTCTCCTCTTTTTCTTCTTCGTCCCCTACGTGATTCTCCTTTTTTTAATTCCCTTGTTACATTCAGACCAAACCAGCCATTTTCTTTCAATATGTGGATACGCTCTAACGCTTTTTGATAGTTACTACGCTCTTTATATCTTCTTCAATCATTTGTTTTTTTCTTCATTTCATTTTTCTAACAAACTTAAGGGTTAAATCAGTCGAGAGAAACTGCACTAACTTGTTTTTTCTCTAAGGACTTGGAGTTGGTTTATTAAAGCTCGACTGAAAATCGGCGGTTATTTTGTTTTACATTTGAGATGACTGATGACCACAAATACGTGTTTGCATGATTTTCATACCAAGTTCCAATTTATTATATTAAAAAAAGACGGGAAAGCATCCGACCCTGTTTGGATCCCATCTTGAGACTTGTTAATCATTTTTATTCCTATATCATTTTCGTAACACAGGAGAGAGCGTACCCGTGACAAAGACGCCCCTACCTAATCCCCAGGGTGTTAAAATGATATATTCCATGGACACACATAAAAGACACACTCTCTTCTGCGGCACGAGAGTGATCCAGGTGCGAACTCATGGGGATGAGGTTGTGAAATGCGTTGTTACTCAAACAGGTATATATATATTTTTTTTTGGGGGGGGGGGGGGGGGGGGGGGGGTATGTTTTAATTGTTTTTTATTCTTTAATTTGTTTCATTTGACACACAGATGGCATGTTCGAAGCACAAAATATGAAACAAATCTCATTTTGATCACGAATAGTGGAATTATAGACAACTCTTCTTCAAGTACCGTTGTAAATTTTCTTTTCAATTTATTGAAAACTTATCATGAAGTAAAGAAATATTTTCCTTCGACTTAGGTTTTAAACCCTGCCAAGAATGCACAATGATTTTGTTATACTCTTAACGCCTCGAAACTATACGCTTTCAGTGTGTCTCACTCAATGGCATCTTGCTTTTTAATATGAAATGGGGCAGTTCACTTAACATTTGATAACATCAAAATATTCTTAGTTTTAAAAATAGTTTACAGGGAGTATGTTTTGAAAACTAAACTCACGTTTTTTGCCAAACAATTTACCTAGGTTTTTCAACTGCCAAGGGACAACTGGTTAAGTCTATTCTCTACCCGAAGCCTACCGAGATCAAACTATACAGGGATGCACTACTCTTCGTTGGAATACTCACAATAATAGGTACAGAGAGAGAGAGAGAGAGAGAGAGAAAATAAAATTATCTGGGTTTTATTTTGGTGAAAGAAAATTTGATACAAAATATTGGCCATGAAAGAAAGCGTTAGAATAAAACTGGCAAATAGGGTTCAGGTGACTTGGTGTGATGGTTACATCATTTGCGGTTCGAGTCTCGTCACGGCACTAATTATTGTCCTTTAGTATAAAGTTAATCTATATTAGCCACTCTCAACACAGGTGAAGTGATTTTTTAAATAATATTTTAGCCCTCCATTGGCTTTTTTATTGCGTCAAACGAAACCTTTTACAATTCAATGAAATTAAGTCTTTCTTTAACTCCAATAAAACAAAATTCGTTCATATTTCTCTCCTCGATGTTTATACAAGTTAACGTTGAAGTGTAGTAAATTGGCTACAAAAGTACATTTTAGGCGCCTTGAGTATACCCTGGGATGAATATGTGCGCTATAATATTGATGTACCAATTTTTTGTTTTCAAGAGCGAGAGACAGAGAGACAGAGAGAATTTTTTTCGCAAAGATAAGACAGAAAGTGAGGATAAGAGAGGAAATGAAACGGAGAGATGAGAAAGAGAGAAAAAAAAAAAAGATTAAAAAAAAATATATATTAGTTACCCATGACAGCTCGAGCGTTAATACCGCTATTTTTAGTTCGGTTCTTTAGTAAAGTACACTTGGTGCAAACTTTAGAAAGTTTAACTTCCTTGCATTTGGAGGTTGCTGTACTTCCTTGCATTTGGAGGTTGCTGGTCTTAAGAACAACAACCTCCAAATTAAAGGAAGTTTAGCTTTCTAAAATTTGAATCAGTCTGGCATATAATCAATTCTTATGTGAGTTGTGGTATACACCACTCTGCATTTATTACTTAGTGTACTTTCAGTAGCATTTACGTAATACGTAAATGCTACTGAAAGTACACAAAGTAATATAAACAGAGTAGTGGATACCACAACTCACATAAGAATTGATTTTATGCCATTCTGATTTCTTCTAAAACCACGATCTTGTGGCTGAACAGGTTGAACACGGGTGATTCTCCTGTAATAACTTTCATGTTCCCCTGGGACATGTTGTACATGATATACATCAACCCCCAAGATGCCGTTAGTTTAGTATACTTGTTTTTACTCTGTGTTTATTGGAAAGCATGCTATATTTTTTCAGACATTCAGCACATAAAAATATTTCCCATCTTGACCATTAATTGCCCCAGTGAGAAATAAATCTTGCCACTATTCATGCTTGGTTTCTTTTTCTTTACCGTTCACGAATAAATCAAATCAAATCAAAGTTCTAAACTTGTCGCCATAGTGCAATATTTACTTCCGCAACTTCTGCTTTGTCACGCATTGCTTGGCTTTTTTTTTTTTATACCTTTGTTTTCATTTTGTTTCTTTTTAGATTTTTTGAGAGAGCCTGCCAAATTTCCCACGAATAAATAGCGATGTGCATTGTGATTATATATTGTTTACTAGTGATTTATCCAACCATACGTTTGTTACCTATTTAAATTCCTCTTTTGTAATATTGCTTTTATATTGGTTATATACCTCATTTTAAGATTCTTTACTAATCCTGTCTTCTGATTGGTTGAAAATGAGAGTCATGTTCTTAACCATGCCCGCTAATTGAAATTCATAGTCATTTTTCCCGGCTCTACCGGTTTATATCCATTTTTCATAGCACTTTTTCCATGGCTGTGAAACGCGTCATTTTGCTGCGATCCCCATTTTGGTTTACGTGTTACCGTATAAGTTTCTTTTGTGCGATGACCGATGCGCAATACCGTTAACGGTGTTTGAGTGCAATTCGATTTTGGTCGCTGCATTCAGGCGACGAATCTACCAATCCACGCAGCACAGTCTGTGTAAATATGTTGCGAATTTGTGAATTTATAAAGTTACTGTTCATGTTCTACTGTTCTACTGGAGCACAGCTTGTTGGTGATATCATCCTGTACAAAAGTTACTGTTCGTGTAAACGTGTTTGGTATTCCCTGTTCTACTGGAGCACAGCTTGTTGGATTTCATACTGTACACAAGTTATTGTTGGTGTTAATATTCATGACTTCAAAGAGATGGAAACCTAAATGGGTGAGTCAACATTTTCCTTTTTTTCGGTATATAAAATATATATTGACTGCTTTTAATATTCGAGGCATAGTTGTTTCTATAGGGTCTCGGGAAACTCACAACCTGCTATGACCCCGCGGCGCAAGCGCCTTGGGGTCATAGCAGGTTGTGAGTTTCCCTTGACCCTATAGAAACCACTATGCCTCTCAAAGCAGTCAATATATCCTTATTATTGTATTTCAGTAAATTTATTCTATTTGATTTGATTTGATATGCTTAACTTTTTTAAAGTATCTATATGAACATCTGCTTTAAATTCCTGAATACCCATATACCATGAATACAAATTTGGATTTTATTATTTTAATTTAACATGGATTTTTGTCAGTGATTATCTTTTTAAAATTTTCTTCCCTTTGCTCAATTTCAAAGCTATCATCGGGTTTATCTACACGGCGGTCATAATGACGCTTCAGGGGGTAAGAACTTACAATAAATACTTAGATTTATAGGAAGGGAGTCTGAGAGTTGAAACCGGGACTTCTCGTACCCCCGAACCAAAATCGTCATTATCTTTCTTTACTCCCCTACCCAACCAAAATAATCATTGATTCCAGCAGCGGAGAAGAAGATAAAGAAAGGGGGTAATATTTGATAAATGGTAAAGGTTACACATGTTAAAAATATAAATGATATCTGGTGAAAAGATTTTTTAGAAGTTTCGGACCTTATCCGATACAGTTATTGTTTTGTGAGCAGGGGAAAATAAAGAAGTGTACTTAGGACAAGGCCTTTTTTTATGTGTGTCTTTTTTTTTTTTTTGGGGGGGGGGGGGAGGGGGAGTGTGGGGGGGGGGGGATAATGCCTACAGAATGTCGAATGTGCAAAGCAACCAGTCAAACCTTGTGATATGAATATGTAGGCTTCATATGGTAAGAGCTTTAAAAAGTGTTTAATAGCTACATGAAAATAAGGGCTTTTAGACTACTCTTTTCATGACATTTGCAGAAAATAACAATCTTTAAAACTGGAAATCTGCATGGTAGGAGTCATGGTTTATGAAGGGTTACTCACCTCGGACTATGCTAAATATGTATTCATTCTTATATAATTCATTTGTCTTATACATTTCCTTCTTCTAAGGCAAGTGCCTCCAAAACGATTATCCACGCTATCGACATACTGTCGATCGCCGTGCCCCCAGCACTCCCCGCTGTCTTAACCATCGGTATGGTGTTCGCCCAATTTCGGCTAAAAAAAGAAGGCATCTACTGCATCAGCCCTCAGCGAATCAACTTATGTGGGACTGTAGATGTTGTTTGCTTCGACAAGGTTTGCTTTTATTATTATAATAATCATTATTATCATTTTATTTAAATTTTTATTTATTTATTTATTTTATTATTATCATTATTATTATTATCATTATTATTATTATTTTATTTATTTATTTATTTATTTATTTATTTATTATTATTATTATTTTTTTTTTGGGGGGGGGGGGGGGGAGGTGGCACATCCCGCCTTTGTCCCCATGTTAAAACTCAATGTGCCATACATGCACTAAGTTCATACAACCAGAAGTACAAAATAATTGTACATCTGCACCCCTCTTATTTCAGACTAAAGAAACCCTCGCTCTTTTGTCTCTTTTTGTTGGGGGGGGGGGGGGTGGTGGTTAGAATATGTTATATTGTACCCCCCTCCCCCCACATCAGACTATCATTGTTTAAAGTGTACCATCAGTAAAATGTCTGTTAGAGATTTTTATAAAGACAATATCGGAATTTCCTTGTATATAATCTTAATCTTTCATAGAAGTGGGTGTAATATATTCTCCGAAGTCGCCACTATTTTTCTATCTCTCTCTCCTTTTCTCTTTCATTCTCATTCTCTCCGTAATCCCCACCCTCTTCCGGTTCCCATCTCATCACAAACCCTCTTGTCACAATCTCTCTTCCTCCCTCTCATCCTTTTTCCAGACGGGAACACTTACTGAAGATGGGCTTGATCTTTTAGGAGTGCAAGCTGCTTCAAAAGGAAGGTATTAAAATCATGCGGTTCAAATTTAATTTATTATTTTGTGTGGTTTTGTGTGTGCGGTTTATTTCCAAGAATTTCAAATGCAGAGAAAAACTTGTACACGTTTTTATAAAGTGAATTAATGTGCGACAGAGGCAAGAAAAGTATTTTTTTGTACAGGTTGAACTATGAATACAGTTACCAATGGGAAACTCTTCTCATAGGAAAGCAAGAATGTGGTCATTGTAGGCAGGTGGTCGTGAAGACCGGTTTGTCTGTACTTGTTGTCTAGATAAAATGTAGTATATATGTTATATAGTTTACGTTAAAGCATATGTCTTTGTTATTGACTTGTTAGGGTTATGTTGCCTGTAGACTGAAAATCAAGTTTCAAGAAGTAAATGTTGCTAAAAAAAATCGACAGGCTTAGCGACTATATATTTTTACTCTCTATAGCTTCAGCCCGATGGTAGCCGATGCCAAGTCGCTCTTCTCCGAGCCCGTCTCCGTTGCTATGGCAACCTGTCACGAGCTAATGGAGGTGGATGGAGAAATAACGGGGGATCCCCTTGATATCAAAATGTTTGACGCGACAAGTTGGGTAGGTAGCATTTGAGATTCATGCCGATTCGTTTTAAACTTTATTGACCAGCATTTTATGAACATTTTCTCCATCGCAGACGATTCTTTTCATCTGCTAAGATGATTTGGGTTTTCTGTTGTACGCGGTAAGCCTACATTTTGAATTCTTTCATCAATATCCGACTTCAGACACATTTGTTTAGAAAATCCTTGCAAAAATGTGTCCTAAATGACACCCTCTTTAACATTATGATAAAATTTAAGTGAATTTTGCCATCAAATTTGTGGAACTCCTAACACTTTAAAGGGACTTTAACCCTGTAAAAGTGACAAGTAAAAGAAGACTTTCTTTAATAAGGGGCAGAACCATTGACCCCGTTTAGAAAAGTTTCATGAAGTCAAAAGAGAAGCCCCTGATGAAAGGTCATGTTAGAATGCAAAGTGCGTTTTTTCATAAACGCAAACGATTGCTTTTGCAAATTAAGCAGCCCCCCCCCCCCAGCCCCTTTTTTTAATAACTATTTTCTCGAACCAGAACCGTTCTTTTAAAAGAGTTGTAAACGTAATCCAGCTAACAGTGGAAGTTACAAACTGATTCAGCCAAGGACGCAGGCTCGAAGCTGAGTCACGTCTTTCGGATGGTGACGTTTAAAGGTCGGTCCCCAGACGTAAATAATCAAATCTAATTGATACACGTCTGTAAAAACCCAATACACACACGGACAAAGGAACGCACACATTGAAGACAACAAATATAACAATTTCTAACAAGAATTTCACCAACGTTTCAGCGGTTGGTTTCTCTTGATCTTGATTTTTTAAAGTAAAACCCCTTGGCCCGATTTCACAAAGGAGGTTTGTCGACAAACCTAGGTTTGGCGGGCCCTTGAAATTGGCGACCAATCCTGCGTGCGTACATAATTAGCATATCAATGAATATTTATAGAATACGTATTCGTAATGTAACCCATATTCTCATATCATGTCAGTCATGGTCCTGTTCCTATACATGTTTATATATATTTTCATCCCTACAACAGACCCTGGATCTCGGTGAGAAGGCGAGTAGCCGGCTACCAGGTGCGATGGCGATTGCGAAGACCGGTTCATCGGACCACATCGGAGCAAAGGGCACTCTTGATGAAAAACAGGTCAGAAGATGTTTTTTCTTTAAATTACTTAAATCTCCGGCTGTTGCTTCTATTTGACTATTTGATTAAGGTGCTAGAGTTTTGGTAGGAGACATAGGTGTCAGCATGGTCAGTTGTGAATGTTCTCATTCTTCTTATTCCATGCATTTTAAAACAGCAATATAGTACACTGGGAAATGCGTTAGTTGACTCGAGGCTAGAGCTAATTTAAAAAGAAAATCATGAAAAAGAGGTACACAGATGTTACGACCGCGAAATCTTTCTTTTCATACGTATGTTAACACAATAACAGTCAATTTTCCCTTGTCTTCATTAATGCATCTCATATGGTGGCCCAGACGGGTCGTCGCGTATTATAAACTTTGCTGTGAAATTCGCGACAAAATATGCGACAAGTTGCATATTTTTTCGCATATTTCAGAACAAAGTTCATGATACGCTATGTCCCTTCTGGGCCACCATAATCTCAGAATTATTATTAATAGGGCAACCTAAAAAGGTGCAAATTGCATAGCGTTACAATCTTTACGTTGCTATTATTACCGTTATGTTTATATACCCTTTACACGTCAGATAACATTAATCAAACTAGTTAAACAGCATGCATGTTACAAATATGACTATTGGTATGGCAGGAAGATTGATCTAAGCTTCACTAGGAGTAGTAGCCCCACAATACGTACATTAAACTTTGTCTTTTCGTCTTTTCACAGGAGTTAACCGAAATTGCGACGTTAAAGATATTTCCTTTCGCGTCGGCTCTTCAGACCATGTGTGTCATTGCCATGGATACAGTGACCCGGAAGACATATGCCCTTGCGAAGGGGTCACCAGAAAAGATTTCCAAGCTCTCACAAAAAGACACAGGTAACGAGAATAACATGACCCTCCCACCCGCACTCCCTTCACGTTTACTAGGAGGTCCAACAAGATCGAAAATACGCCTACAGTAAAGGTTAAGTTGAGTTCTGGAAAACAATGTAAATGACGTCTTACAGTATAGCCAACCTTAAATGTAACCCTAAACATAACCTAAAACACAATTGAAACCCTAACACTAAACATATTCTTTGGACGAATTAAAACCCGGAACAACTGTTTATGGGGGATATGTAGGATTGGAGCTGTTAAATTGTTAGCCCATCATCCCTATTTATTGAGGACGCAGACTTGGTCAAACATACACTGTAACAAAACAAATCACAATGTCGTCACAGTTTGTGAATGTAAATTTATCTTAATGAGAAGGATTTCTGAAAAAAAGGAAATTTTGCTGAATTATCAAAGAAGTGTTCCATTAAATGCAATATCTCGTATCTTCTTCTTATTTTTGAATAGTGCCACTCGACTTCCAAGACGTTTTAGATGGATTCACAAAACAGGGCTTGAGGTTAATTGCATTGGCATGGAAACCCATCGATATCAACCCAGACGATCCCAATGAACTTTCAAGGATCCAAAGGTAAGTAAAACTATAAAATTATCATCATTATTTTCGTCGTTAGGTTCGTAACCGAATTTAGTACCACTATCATTATTATTTTTATAATCATTGTTTCATTATCATCCCCATTGTCATCATCCTTGGCATCGGCATCATCACGGTCATTATCTTAATAAAAAAACACCATACTTTTTCTCATCATCATCATCATCATGATGTGGTGCGTTCTTCCTTTTCCTCCTCCTTCTTCACCTGCTTCTCCTCCTCCTTCTCACCCTACACCTCCTTAAACCCTCCACCGTTCCTCCCGATCATCATCATCATCATCATCATCATCAGTATGTGGTCCTCAAATGTATATACTTTGGCAAATTGCTAACCGAGTCTGGGTAATTTAACTAATGCCCGAACAAAATGATGTGTATTATTTGTTTTATAAGATTATGTTTTATTTGTTTTATAACATGATTTTACTAACGACCGGTCATTATAAAAAATACGTGTTAAGCGAAATAAATGCCTGGTCACGTGTACGCTCTCAACCAATCATTTAATTTGGATCCACATCATCATCTTATAAGTACTTCTTTCTTATGACTTTCGTCATTATCATCTCGAAGTGTAAGGTCAGCTGATATCAATGTTGTAATGCCGTTTGTTTATGGGATGTCGATGGAGTTACAACTGTTTCTGTTCGACTATGTCAGAAGCTGTTTTGAACAGAATTTTCTATATCTAAATTCCATTTGTATTTTATCGTCTGGCATGTATGTAGAGATATAGTGGAGTGCGATCTGGAATTCGCTGGTCTCCTGATAATGCAAAACAAACTGAAACCTGCTACGACTCCCGCCATTACTGAACTCAATGAAGCCAATATTAGAACCATCATGGTGACAGGTAATTTCAATCAAATATTACTTTATTCCCCCTCCCCTTTTTTTTTAAAACCGACCCTTACCATTATTTTACTCTTTTTTTTAAACCGAATATCATCATGATGGTAATTGTGCCTACTGTCAGTTTTGCATCTCCTTCTTCTTGTTCTCTTTCGTCTTTGTCTCTCACTCTCTCCCTCTTTCTGTCTCTTTCTCGGTCTGTCCCTCTATCTGTCTCTCTGTCCCTGTCTCCCTCTCTGTCTCTCCTCACAATATCTTTCTCCTTCTATTCGATCTTGTATATTATTTATATTATTATATATTGTTTGTCTGCTTGGTTTTGAATGTGATAATGACTGTCCATGACTTTCCATCCTTTGGGGCATACTTTCTGCTATAGGAGACAACATCTTCACAGCGATCAACGTGGGGCGGGAATGCGGCATGGTTCGACCAGGGGCAACCATCATGCGCGTCGAAGCCGGGCCTCCCCACGACCACTTAAAGGCCAAACTCGTCATTACACCTCTGGTCGATGACGTGCAGAGAGACGTCGATAATAATTGCGATACAAATGGGGTGAGAATAATTCAGGAATTGTTTTGATTTTGTTTTAGTCTGCCTCTTGTGTAATCTTAAAAAGTGATGGTACTTGATACAATTCACCTTCTCAGTAGGTTTTTTTTTATTATTTTGGAATAGTTATTATTGTATGTTTTAATGTTATTAATAAATATGTTTGATGTTATTTTAATACATTTTAAAGCCTTCTTCAATAAACAATGTGTTTTCACAAATAACTTTTTCATTCTACTGAAAGTAAAACCACTGCATGAAATATTTGTGACGCATTTCTTTGCAGTAATGACTTCTATTATTTACTGCTTCATGCACGACTACTTCTTCTACCACTACTACTACTACTACTACTACTACTACTACTACTACCACCACCTCTACCACCACCACCATCACCACCACTGCTTCTACTACTACTACTACTACTACTACTACTACTACTACTACTACCCCCACCACCAATACTACTACTTCTACTACTACTACTACTACTACTACTACCACTACTACCACCACCACCACCACTACTACTACCACCACCACCACCACTACTACTACTTCTACTACTACTACTATTACTACTACTACCACCACCACCACTACTACTACTTCTACTACGACGACTACTACTACCACTACTACCACCACCACCACCACTACTACTACTACTACTACTACGACTACTACTACTACTACTACTATTACTACCACCACCACCAATACTACTACTTCTACTACTACTACTACTACTACTACTACTACCACTACTACCACCACCACCACCACTACTACTACTACTACCACCACTACTACTACTATTACTACCACCACCACCAATACTACTACTACTACTACTACTACTACTACCACTACTACCACCACCACCACCACTACTACTACTTCTACAACTACTACTATTACTACTACTACCACCACCACCACTACTACTACTTCTACTACGACTACTACTACCACTACTACTACCACTACAACCACCACCATCACCACTACTACTACTTCTACTACTACTACTATTACTACTACTACCACCACCACCACTACTACTACTTCTACTACGACGACGACTACTACTAACACTACTGCCACCACCACCACCACCACTTCTTCTACTACCCATACTTCTACTACTATTACTACTACTACTACTATTACTATACTGTTGCTACTACAATTGCTATTACTATCATTACTACGAACAAATCCACCACCTCTTCTTATCGTTTTCCTATAATTCTAGACGATGAAAGAAGATAAAGTGCTCATTTCCCAGCAGGGAGAAGAGAGCCCATTGATAGCCTGTGACGGTACAACCTTCGGCATCATTCGAGATCATTACCCCCAAATAATGCCAAAGGTAATAATAATCATTATGATCATAATTATATCAATAATGATGATAATACAATAATAATGATATTACTTGTAGTGATAATAATAATATACTATACTTATAAAGCACATATCACAGATAATATGTCGCTATGCGCTGTAATAGAGAGAAGGAAAGGGAAAGAAAAAACTAGAAGAGAGTGGGACACGCTCACCATACTTCTTGAAGTCACTAGTGAAATTTAAAGTTTCATTTAAAAAAAGTTTTAAGTCGTTGTTGAGGTAAATTGGTCTTCATATACTAGGAATAGACTTTCATTGAAGATACACATAAATTGACGTGAAGCCAATCAAACCGGTCGGACAGAAAGAAAAACAAATCAAAGTATCTGTATAAAATATTTAATTAGAAACGAAAATAAAATTAACAATAATGTGCATTTCTTTTTGACAATCTAAAGCTAATCGTTATGCTGAAAACTCCTCATAATGTTTTTCCATCCATTTAAAATTAAACCCCCAAAATATAGCATTGAATTCCAAGAAATGCGTCAGAGATACATCATTACCACCCGTATCATCTGAGCGTCCAATCAATGTACATGTTAATATGTCAATTTGATAGATGTTCACAAAGAGGATGACAAAAGTTTCCCCAAGTTGAAAAGAGTTCAAACTATTAAACTACATTTTGCGAATGACATATCTGATCAACCGATTTAGCGTGCCGTGTGCGCGGTCGTAACCTCTCAAATCTTATTATGTCATCAATATTGTTTGGACATAGACATGCTTGTCGTTCTTGAATATGGACTCAAGAATTGTGAAGAATTTTATCACGGTACTTCAACCTTTATTTAAAGATTTTATTTTCCAAAATTTTTTAATTCACACAGATCGCAGCGCAGGGTGTAATATTCGCCAGGATGTCCCCTGACCAAAAGTCACAGCTGGTCGAAACGCTCCAGTCACTGGGTCTATCTGTTGGCATGTGTGGAGATGGTGCAAATGATTGCGGTGCTCTCAAACAAGCCATGTCGGCATAGCTCTCTCAGAAGCCGAGGCATCCGTAGCGGCTCCGTTCACATCTAAGACGGCAACAATCAGCTGTATCCCGACAGTCATAAAGTAAGTTGCTAACTTCAGTTGATTGGACGTTTTGTTAACACAATGTTTATGTTCAATAAGTTCTTAAAGTTTGAAGTTGAATCATTTACGTATAAAAGAAAAAAAATGGAATTTGAATTCAATACAATTTTGAGAAAAATAGAGGGTCAAATTTTCGTCAAAAAAATGCCTTTTTGATCAGTAAATACATGCATATGTATCCCGACAGTCATAAAGTAAGTTGCTAACTTCAGTCGATTGTAATTTTTTTAACAATGTTTAGAATTGAATTAGAATTGAATTTATTCATTTACGGTAAAAACTTACATCTAAAAAGACTGCTTTTCAGCAAGTCCGTGTTTACGTCCAATAACTTCTTAAAGTTTGAAGTTTAATTATTTATGTTTAAAAAAAAATGAAATTTGAACCCAATACAATCTTAAGAAAAATAGAAGGTCATTTTTTCGTCAAAAAGAGCCTTTTCATGTTAGCCTTTTTGATCAGTTAACACATGCATATGGATACGATCGTCATAAGAAAAGACATAGCTCAGGTTTAATAACTGGGTAGACATTCACAGTACAAGTATACAAACGCACACACAGTCACACAAACACCCACACACACACAACACACGCTCGTATGCACACACACTCATCGAAATAGTCTTTGTATCATTTATAACTTTGGTTAAAAAAATTGGTGAATTATTATTTTATGTCAAGGAATGAAAGGGAAAAAAATAACTAGAACCCTCACAATCCTGCAGTTTTGACCAAAATAAACTTTACGTTAATTATATTTGATTCAGTCTCTCACTCTCTCTTTCTCTTTCTCTCTCTCTCTCTCTCTCTCACACTCTCTATGTTCCATTTTGTAGGGAGGGTCGTTGTGCCATGGTGACGTCATTTGGTCTGTTTAAGTTCATGGCTCTGTATAGTCTCATCATGTTCACCTCTGTAACAGTACTCACTTCGGTATGTTCATCTCTTGCAATAGAGAATATTACAATGCGTATACTTCTCGTCGCAGTAGCAATATATTAATGTGTATAAATTAATTTGTAACTATATAAGGATATACTCTATGTCACAAATACACCGGTCGGAGGAAGTTCAAATTGCTTAAGGTTCCTCTGACCAAAACGCCCTCACCTTTGGTTCCAAATAGTCTGTTCTTGTTGTTTGTTATGATATACATTATACTGTCCTGGGGGGTGTTTCACAAAGTAGAACTTAACACTAAGTTGGACTTAAAATTTATGGACAGCCATTGGAGCCTTAAAATGAAATATATTCAAAAGCAGAAATTCAAGTATTTTATACTTTTTTTATAAATTCTACATCAAGAAAATGAGATCTCCTTTATGATAAATTTTGAATCAACATTTTATGCCTTTCAAAATAACTTTTACAAAATATTTTCAAAGATGCTAATGGCTTTCCATAATTTCTAAGTCCAACTTAGAGATAAGTTCGACTTAGGATCTTTGTGAAACACCCCCCCCCCCCCCAGGTTAGTTGATCCGAGATTGTTACAAGTTATTTTTTCGATAGATTTGTACACATGTTCTTATTTTAATCTTACAGTTACAGTTACAGCTTAGAGTTAGAATTGCAATAATTTCACCAATCTTACAGATACAGGTTATATGTTACAGTTTAGGTTGTATATACGTAGTAAAGTTTAGTTTGTTAAATTTAGTTAAGTTAAATTGACTTAAATACTAAATTGAATTGAATTAGGTCACTTTAACCTCGTATTTTTAGGTATCATTGTATTCTAACAGATTACGCCACCATTACACGTGTTCTTCTTCCACCTTATCCACCTCGTTTCGAATTCATTCTAGTTAATATGTTATTGTGCTTATATATTTTGCACTTTGGGGTGTAGGTTCAATACTACATTGGCGATATGCAGTTCTTCATTATTGACATCGTGCTCTGCACTTCATTCGTACTAGCAGGTAAGCTAAGAATTTCATGATTTTGGCCAGGGCCTCGGAAATTCCATCAGATTCCTTAGACTATTAGTTCAATTAAATATCAAAATAAAAGCAATTTCTATCTGCTAAGAGTTTTTTCTTCAATACTTTTCTTACTTCTTCTTGAATAAAATGATAAATAAATCGAAGCAGGAAGATGAATTATATCGCAACCACGGATCTAAATTCCCACTCGCCAGTGCGACAGGAATGTGTTATACCAGGGGGCATTTCACAAAACTGGTCATTGGTGACAAATGACAGTTTTTGTTATAAGCTACTAAAATCCTTGCTTCCGATTGGTTATCAGCAGATTCGTCACTGATTTTTTTTTTTAATTTGTCATTAAAAAAAGGCTTTGTGAAACGAGCCCCAGGGCAGCTGTAAGCATGGTAGGTGCGCGGATTTGTACGATCTATACTGTAAGATTGCAATGCGGTGAACTTCGATCGGTGGAGACAGAAATTACATCCATCCTCCATTTGGGACTCCTTTAAGATATCTGGCGTAAAAATATTCAAGAGCTTTCATCAATTATATCACAGTGCTCCCACAAACGAAATAAGGTTCGTTATTCGAGCATGAGTAATAGGTCCATGCACGTCAGCAAAGGAAATAAGGGTCACAGTTCTTTCTTTTTTCTTCACTCCTTCAATGCTCTATCATGCAATATGTATTTGGATTCTTCCTATCTAGTTGGTTACAACAAGGCCTATCATCAGATATCAACCAAACGCCCCATTACCAAGCTGGTCACCCCTCCTATCGTGTTCTCCCTCATTGCACACGTAGTGATCCTAATCGGGTTCCAAGTCCTAGTGTTGGTCCTGGTCCTCAATCAACCATGGTAAGTCCTGGTCCATATGCCCTATTTGTCCCTAGCTCTATTCGGATCCATGTAAGGTATTGACATCATTTATCATTAGGCCCATGGATCATAATATAATACGGACTTTTAGATTCGCACGAAGACAATGAGGATTGCTACGATCGACGTCCTTTTAATGCACTGCCTTGAATGGACGTCACATGTTTCAGTCCACGCAAATCTAAAAGTCCCTATTCTCATTATTGTTACAATCAATGGCGTAGCCTTAGTCCAGCCTACGTAAGCTATAAATATTTCACTCACTTTCTATGTAGGTCTATGTAGGCCTACCAAAAGACCTCGTTTCACACAAGCAGCTCAAGAATATAAATTAAGACAGAAATCAATGTTAGAATTAAAAGGAAATGTTTCAATCCTTTTCTCAATTACCAAAATCTCTGAAAGGGAAAATCAAAGATGTTAGTACATACAAAAACCAAAAAGGAAAAAAGAAAAGGAAAACGATAAGACAAAGGTAAAGGGGCACAAAAGAAACAAGAAGCGGTTGTCACACTTAAGTGTTTCGGGGGTATATTAAACATTGCTGGAATAAAAGAAGGAACAATAAGAGTCAGCATTTATTTGTGCAATTTGCATATAAGTCTAACTCCTCAATTTCTGATTCAACTATAGGTATGAGCCCTCGGAGCTAGACGGCGCACACAGGAACGTAGTGTCGTACGAAAACATGGCAGTTTGGCTACTTGCAAATTTTCAGTACCTTACCCTAGCTTTCGTTAACACGCCGGGGCCTCCGTACAGCAACCGATTTTACAAAAACAGTAGGTACCAAGTGAGAAAATCATTTACAATTAAACAGAGAAGATAGACATCATAAATTACTTTTGTCTATCTGTCTTCCCTTTCATCTTAAATTGTGCCTTTGGAGTGGTTTAATATTCCCCGTATCTTTTACTTCACATATAGTCCGTAACAGTTCACTTACAAATAATATACCGGGTTTTTTTTCTGGGGGGGAGGAGGGAAGGGGAGTCATATAGGCCTACATTAGTTGTGAATCATTAGGCCTATATTATTAAATGATGATTTCTTTTAAAATTTCCATTATTATTGTTATTAGCAAAACTCACTACTGACCTCTATTTTCCTTTATTTTCAGTTCCTCTTTTGATCGTCTTCATAGTCGATTTTCTCATCTGCCTCGGCTTTCTTTTCTATCCACCTGCCAGAATCATCAAAGCATTTAAGGTAAGACCCTCTACTGACATGTAAATAATGCTGCGGCCCATTGGTTAGTCCAGATCCGGGTCCAGATCCTGTCCGTTTTTTAATTCTCCTACGGCACAAGCATCGATCCCCACACACAGCGTGGTGTCTCGATCCAATCATCCTGCGATACCCCAAATTAACCGTAATTTTCAATTTCGCCTCCCTTCCCTATAGCATAATCTGTAAAACAATACATGTACAATTTTCATAATACATACTATACCTGTATCCTGGGGAGCACCAAGCTTCGACGGCAAGACAATGCTATACCATATAGCTCCCCCATGTCAGACGTCCAGACAATGCTATACCATATAGCTCCCCCATGTCAGACGTCCGTTCTACAGCGTGTCGAACTAGGTCAATGAGCTTTGTAAGCTCATCGAATCTGAATACTGCAAAACGGCACCTGTTCAACATTCTTATGCTAATCAGTTAGCTCTGCTAACAATTAAAAATATATACAAGAACGGGTGCAGAATGGCAAAGTCTACTGTCAACGTTGAGGCCGTGTTATTGTATCAGCCGATTTGGCGGAAACGGTCCACAGGCTGGACTACCTATTGGTCCAAAGCTCCATTTAACTCTCCATATAACCCTAACTAACTAATTGGTATAAGAATGATCAATTCTAAAAAGCTCGGTTCGACGCTCAATTATTGCTGTGAGAAATATTTATTTCTTAAAACATATTAATCCCTCAATTAAAGGGATCGAGACGGTGGTCAGTTTCAATGTGCAGTAGATGATAATTCACTGACACTAGACTTTAAGAAAAAAATTGTATTGCCCTTTGGGTGCCAAAACATGGGTCGGTCGGTCTGAATTTTTTTGTGTATTTATTTATTTTTATTTTTTCCTTCCTATTTTGGCTAATATTTCTCATTTTGTATGCTTTAATAATATTCATTAAATATTTTTTTCTTCTAAAAAACGGTAAAGAGCCAACCGTAGATTTCATTTTTTGGGGGGGTCGGTCGCAAAGGGCAATACGACATCTTTTTTTTTAACGTCTAACGGTTGTACAAGTTTGGCACAGAGTAAACCCGTAGTCCCATTAAGAAATGACCCCTAGTCTCTCTGAGAGTGTTCGGGTGAGGGAAATGAAGATATTGACTTTTCTATGTGGTGCGATTGGTGGAAACTGTAAAGTGTCACATGAGGCCTGTTAATTGGTCATAAAACTGAAGGCTTATTATGGTGATTTTAAACACCCGTTATTAAATAAACACCCAATTGGTGTCGAATTCCAAATGGGAGCGCACTGTTATGCCTCTTTGAATATCGTGATGAAATGTGTATCTTTTGAACTAGAGTATATCATGGTCCAGATCAATAAAATTCTACGAATGATATGAGCTGATGACGGTAATTATTTTGTACTAAATATTGCAAAAATACTGGATACGTGGTTAGGAAAGTTATATGTACAATACTGATAAACCTTTTCCCACCTTTTCATCCGTTTTATCCCATTGCAGTTGAAGCATATCCCATCCTACACTTTCAAGGCGCTCATCCTTTTTCTCGCAGCAGTGCATTTCATCATTGCGTTATCTGTCGAGGTATGTGTGCTTCTTCTGAAGTCAAAGAGATATTGAGCTGCGTTATGATCGAATGACAATCCCAGCGTTGTTTATGAAAACATATTCCAAGGGCATGTAGCAATGAATATTGATTACATTGTTCAACAAAAAACAGTACCCTCAAATGTCACGCCGATTAATTTAACAAGGACAACATTAACAGTTGTGTATGCAGTTGTTAACTTCAAGGTGCTTTGCAAATAATTGCTTCACAAAATCAGACAATCTTTATTTATCCATGACAGTCACTTACTTGATTCTTAATATGAGGACTCGTCAGAGTACACACAAATAATGGTGATAGGCCGAATCACAGTTTCGGCACAATGTACCCATAATCAGTAATGCAGAAGGTAGTGAAATTATTAAATTTATATGAAGTTAAGAAAAGGAGTAAATACAGAAATTATGAGAATGGTAGTCAGACAAGAAACCGGTAATATAAAAGTCATCAACTCGTAAGACAAGCAGTTTTTTAAACATTTTGACAAAGAAATTGTATTATTCATTTGCAGTATGTTCTGGCGCCCTCTAAGCGATTGATGAACCTCATTACGTGTCGGTGTTTTCGCAAGAAAAAGGCGCCGAAATACCACGGAGTCGAACTAACTGTGCTTAAGAAACCGCTCATGGACATCCTTTCCGAGTCGGAAACCATCTCGTGTGAATGAATCCGTGGATGATGAGCCGAGCATGAGCACCAGAACGATGTCAGACACAACATTAACAATGGCAGTGGATGCCCGGCCCCCCCCCCCCCCACTCAGTGTTATTTAGGGTACGCATATGCTCGTTCCCTATTTTTTAAAGCACCCCCTATCTGAGGACTGCCAACATTTTCGAACCCCCCTTTCGCGGGCTTTTCGCGGCCTTTTCCTGCTTTGGAGACCCCCCTAAATCAGGAAAAATGCTCAATGTACCCCCCTAAATTCGGAATAATTTCTCAGGAGTCCAAAGAGATGAGAAAAAAGAAGAAAAAACACCCCTTTTTTGAAGAAATCTCCGGGTGAAAGTCAAATACACCCCTTTTTTTACAATTCTCGGGCCGGACTTTGTCGCACGAAAAGTACCCCTTTACCGGACATTTTGGCAACACGCATGCGGTCATTCCGACCCCTGAGTGGGGGGGGGGGGGGGCCGGGAGTGGATGAAACTTGTGCTGGTGAAATGATTACGTAGTTAAAGGCGCGTTTACACATGAGGTGGTCAACCGATACGGTCAAATAAAACTAGAGGCATACATGTACATCACCAAATCCATCAGACCAAAAAGCTATTCACACACTAGTATATCTCATACCTCAATCCAGGACATAGAAACTCCTTCTTCCCCAGAAATGTGAAGACATTGAACATCCTCCCAGTCAATGTCGTGACAGCCTCATCTGTTGAAGCCTTTTGTCACCACTTGAGGAGAGGCTACAGTAGCAAGATCCAATGTTGTTTTTTACTCGTACCTCGTTGATTATTGGCACATGCACCCTATCTTTATGACACACACTCCACCAAAGAACTGCAAGAATCTTCAAGATTGAAGGAAGCGGACTGCTCCAAAGAAAAAAAATTATGGACTTGCAGTAATTGTTTGAGCGGATTTATATAAGAGGTTCACGAAAAGATTACTCTCGATGTTAATGATATGAATGTGTATGTTGTGTAACTGTTGTAGCAATGTAGCTGACGAAAGCCAGAGCCTGCTTTAATTTACATGATTACTTTTGATAAAAGCAACAAAGAATTTATTAAAGGTAAAATAAAGATGGAATGCATTTTATCCATTTTGATAGCTTACCACGTATTCTGACAATGTGGGAAAACAGAATGTACATATTGAAATATAAAAATCTATAACAGTATTTTTGTGAATATATTTTTTATCGACATTTTCCTTGTACTGCGAAAATGATAGTGCGTTTTTGTAAATGTATAATCAACAATAAGAAAATTCCGTTCGTGTATGATTCGAACCCTGTAACTTGTGTTTCAAAGACAAAGTCACTGGACTTAACCACTCGATCCTGACTCCTCACCAAAATGTTTTCGGAGGTTGGTACAAATGCAGTGTACTCACAGAAGAGTTGCATAGCACACGCATATAATTGACAGTGTAAACCAAATGGTGTAAACACTCCGTAGCGAAACATATGCGACATTCCAAGTTAGAAAGGAATATAGCCTACACATTTGTGATTTTACAAGAGTGATACAAGAATGATGGAATATAAATCCTTTGTTGGCAATGCTGTTAGTTGTCAAGTTAACAAGATTACCAAGACTCTAAAAAAAATAAACCAAAGTCTATTCCAATAGCCCTGTGCATCATCTGTTTATACAGTGTATATGCGAACATTGCAATGACGTAATACGTTTTCGGGACATGATATCTAAGGCAGTGCTATGGGGTTTTGAAATTGCGTGAAAATGATTTCTTGAAAGTCTTCGTGATCGTATTTTGTTTCTTCCGGACGTATACACTGTAATATAAGTCTAGATATTTGTAGGAGAGTAGCTTGTATACAATTCATGTTTATGTATACTTATATAATCTTTGATCTTATTTGTTGGATAATCAAGTACCAATATTGTTCAATTTAAGAAATAAATACATACAAAGAGTTATTATTAATTCTTCTCAATTTGACTTTTTTTCAAGGATTTACAGAGAATATCATTTTGTAGCTCGGAATCCCGTCATGTATGTGTGTCGCCCCCTGCCGGCATTTAACCTACAACACCTCACTATTGAAGATCTACCAGTCAATTCGATTCAATTCAATTTCAATTCAAATAATTATATTTCCATAACTCAATCAAAACATGAAAGCAATGCTAACATTAAATAAATTTCAAATGACCTTGGCAATATGACATAGAAGATAAAAACAAAATTTTTAATATTTGTAATATTATATATCGGTAAGTAATCAAAGCACTTAGGATTATGAGGATGTCATAAAAAAAGTCGAATTTTAAAGGAATTGTATGTGGTTCACCACATTGTGGCGGTGTCCACACTGTGAAAACACTCTGTTCGCAATGTGAACTGTGTGTTCACACTGTGTTCACACTGTGAATGGGTGTGAATGAGTGTGTTCTTTCCAGCAGGGATGTTGGTACAGAGGTCCAGCTCCAACACCACAAGCTTTCTCGAAAACAGTGCATTTATACTAAAACAAATCGATTCAACCAGAAAAATGTTCTTTTATCAATAAGCGAGTTCGTAATTGCACACTCCGCATGCGCCAAAATCGGGAACGAACTTTTACAAAGGTCACAAGAACATAAAGAGAGCTGAGAGAGGAATTGTAATTTGTTTGTGTGCTGGCCTTTCCTTTGTGAATGATCACATCTGACACATCAGTCACCAAAAATCATTTCTGAATTGGTTCTTTATAGTAAACTCTACTTGGAATCTGGTCATCTGTAAAGTATTATCGGCATTATCGTGATCCAAGTCCCCGGGGACTCGACCTTTATATCTAGACGTTGCATAATGCAATTCGTATTGGTATTTTATTCCATCTCAGAGTGATTATAGACTTTATTTTTTAAGGATAATAAAGATAAAGCCGTCCGGGTTTTTAAAGATAATGCTTCAAAACCAATCGAACAAGCTGTTTATTTCTTTATTCATGACTTTCAAGAGAAAGTGTTTCTAATACATAGAGAGGGGTTATTTCTTAAATGAAGTGAAAGGACTCTTGAAAATTAAATAGCCCTTTCAGTTTAATTTCATTTTATAAATAAACTCTAATCCATCCCTTGATATATCTAAATTGCACTGCTCCTACTGTGTGCTTTTTTCACACTCTCCCTGATCTATAAAAGGGTGCTTTCTTTATTTGATCATCAATAGAAGCGAAATGCTAGGCCACGAACTTTTCGAAGCGTGACTGGATTCAAAGTATGCTTAAATGGGGGCATTGATGTATGTAGAAAAAAACATGATTAAGATCCCATGCAACGCTTCGAAATTTAAAAGAAGAATAAGAAAAATAAAGTTGAGATTTAACCTTTATGTCTAGACGTTGAAAATGCAAATCGTATTGATATTTTATTCCATCTCAGAGTGATTATAGACGTTATTTTTTAAGGATAATAAAGAAAAAGTTGTCCGGGTTTTTAAAGATAATGCTTCAAAACAAATCGAGCAAGCTGTTTTATTTTTTTATTCATGGTCTGTTTCTACTGTTTATCTATTTTTATTGCCAACCCTCGAAAACGAATTTATTATGCATTTCACAGAGGAAGATTGCATAGGAGAACTATATATATATATATATATTTATATATATAGTTCTGTATATATGTATGTATACATATATATATATATATATATATATATATATATATATATATACAAATTATTTATTGGGCTTATTTTGCTTTCTAATGGATCCGTACAATATGGCACAGCTTTAGGCGCCTGGAAGAGCCCCCATCGGGAGTTCCGGGGCGGAGCCCCAGGATGCCATCTCTCAGATTGATTATAGACGTTATTTTTTAAGGATAATAAAGATAAAGCTGTCCGGGTTTTTAAAGATAATGCTTCAAAACAAATCGAACAATCTGTTTATTTCTTTATTCATGGTCTGTTTCTATTGTTTATGTATTTTCATTGCCAATCCTCGAAAACGAATTTATTATGCATTTCACAGAGGAAGTTTGCATAGGATAACTATATATATATATATATATATATATATATATATATATATATATACGTATGTATCATGGCTCAAATTAATTTTGTGTCCACCGGGGCTCTTCCCCCCCCCCCCCCAAAAAAAAAGAGTGGATCCGCGCCTGTACAAAAAAAGCACCAAAAACAGAATCGCTCAGTAAAGAAATAATGTAAAGGTTGCTCCTAATAATGAGGAGGAAATAATGTGCAGAACGGGAAGAAATCGAGAGAATGTCATCACGGGATGAAAGTCAGTAACAGCTATGTAGCTTGTAAATTTGTAAGAGAGAAAATGCTGATTAAAATGATAATAATAATAATAATAATAATGGTGGCTTCTAATATAGCGCACATGTCCGTCACGTTGTGACGCTCCTGGCGCTGCCCCGATTATTACCCTGATGAAATAGCAAATAATTGAGTAGTATCATAGGTACCAATTCAATGGAAATTTGTATAAAAAAGAGCCCCCGTCAGTACTAAAAGAGCCCCCGTGAGAAGGCTCACGGGGGCTCTCTTTTTTTTTTGGGGGGGGGGGGGAAGAGCCCCCGTGGACAAAAAAAAAATTGAGCCCTGCCTTTGACCCACATGTATAACTTAAGCCCAATCTTGACACAAGAGGATTTTGACAATACTTTTTGAAAAGTCTGTTGTTCAGTCATCCTTAGCAGCATAGCTATGAACATGGTATCATGAGATTGGTTACTAGTTCATCTTTACCGTAAAATATGATTTAAGGTCACATAGGTTATGACTTTTTAATTAGAAGCCACCAAATATGGGTACACTTTGTTGAATACGCACTGTACATAGTACATGCACATTTAAGTGAACAGATCTTTTTTTCTTTCACCTGTTAACCTGTTAAAATTATTTTTAGTTGAAAGGTCAGGATGCGAACTGCATACTTTAATTGTTGCTAGGTAGGGCAAGTTGTATGGCTTGTCCTACCTAATAAACGGACCTATTGGGAAATGTGGGTTGGTATAGCGGTAATGTCCGTGGCACGGTTAGCATCTCTGTCTTCGTCTTTCAGATGGTGAAATTAAAGGTTGGTCCAAGACGTAAATAATCATATCTTTTTGAAAGGTTAATGATTTACACCTTTCAAATCTCAGCATATTCATGTTTCAGTTGTCTCGCCAAGAACTCCCATCAGCCATAATTGAACTCTTTACAAAAAATGACGCTATACACACACACCAAACACGACATGCAACACGTGCAAACTATCATCTACCTCTAACCAGGACGATTTTCGCCGAAAAAACTATTTGATACACAGGACCAAACTACTGGAGCACTATTGATCCGAATCTCAAGCAGCTTAAAAACTGTGGCAGCTTCAAAAAACATATCAAAAAGTTATTATTGAATTCGTACGTGTAATGCACAACTACACTATTTTTTTCCTGACTGTGACTCCCGACCTAGAACATTCTATTCTAAAACCTTCTTTTCTCTCTTCTTATTCTTCTTCTGACGTCTATTATTTACCTTCTCTTCCTATTTTTCTTCTTTCTTACATCAATCATCCATATCATTTATCTTATACATTTTAATTATTATACTTCTACCTTATTATAAATGATACAGTGTCAACATTATTTTGAGGAACTTAAATTCTACAAGCTATATGTTTTTTTTTTAGTTCCTTTTTCCACATGTAATTTAGAAATTATTTAGTGTAAATGCCATACAAACTTATGCTGTGTATTGTATCTTTATTGTTCACGAATATCAATTGTGTAAATATGCTATGTTTTGTTAATGTATTGTATTTTTTCATGCGATATAAAAGAAACTAAACTAAAATTAAACTGAAGGCAGAACAGGAAAAAAGGTGAAATGAAAGAGAGCTTGACGCAAGGCTGAAGGGGGCAAGATAATTTGTACTTGTATGCATTCAATGTTAAGTCCGCTTTATATGGCAAGATATATAATTCTTTGAAAATATACTCTGTTTGCATAAAAGGTAAAGTCTAAAACTGCAGGGTTATGCAAAAAATGTAAAAGCAATATGTTTAGATGTTATTGTTACATACTGAATGTGCGGTACATAAAACTAATTGTTTGGTCGTGAATGTTTGGCTTCCTGAAAGTAATTTTAATTTTAATTTCTAAAGAAATTCAGGCTGGCACCCAGTAAATAAACATCGCGTTGTCAACCTTGTAAATTGACTTGTCTTAAATTACAACATCGAGGACGGCATCTTTATATCCTAGTTGCAAGCTGAAATCTCTTTACAAATTGAAAAAGATATAGATTTTATGAGGTTTTCTGATATCAGCGAAATGATATTTAGGAGATTGATTCACGCTTACTGGAAAAAGGCTATCTGGCAATTAAGAGCAATCCTCCGTATCATGACAATTACCCCCTGGATGATTGCCCCCCCCCCGAACAATCATCCCCTTCCTAGGAATATTACCCCCTTAGGGCCTTCAGTATCAAACTGCGTCCCACAGGATATATTCAAATCTGGCACTTAATGATTTTATTGAGTCCTTCCCCCCCCCCCCCCAACACAAAAAAGGTAAGAAACAAAAGAAATAACGTTTTTTTTTTTTTTTATTGAAGTATGTATGTTGAATGTTCGAAAAGTAGCAAGAAAAGAAGTTATGGCGAAGTTTTCAGACAAATTTAAGATGACTCATAATTGATAAGTTGATGATTGGCAATTCATTCAATCCTGTGCTTTCCAATATTTTGCATTTTTATATTGTCAAAAATCTAAAAGAAGGCCGACAAATGGGAAAAGCAGACGAATGACAGTTTGAAGAAAACAAAATCGAATCCCCCCCAAAATTGTAATCACTTTAAGTATGATAACTTCATATTGGCTGGATCGGTATTGTCACTGTGATGTAGTGGAGGACTACTTTCACATTTTTTCCAACACACAGAATGGCTAAAATGGCAATTTTTCAAATGTTATGACTCAGGACCATGTCTTTTTAGAAGACCTGCAATTATGCCTTCCGTTCCATAATTTATTTTGAGCAGTGTCCTAAGTGAGAAGGCTCTGTAGGAGAAAATTATTTCAATTTGAGATTTACACACTCAGTGATCTCATATTTATAACATTCATAACTCTCTTATCATTAGTCTGATCTATTTCGAATTTCATTTCTGCCTACATGCAAATACACGTATTCCAAAGGTTGGATTGCCTTTAAAAATGAACCGAACGAAAGTCAATCAACATCAAAACCATTGGAACGTTATAGAGGAAATGTGAACCTACCCTGCAAATTATCAAGAATACCAGCAGTGTGGTGACTATCGTGTTCAGTTACACACATAGCTGATGCTTTTGAAATCTGAGGAGATTCTCGAGCATTCCACCATACCGCCCCCACCCCCATACCCCCCCCCACCCTCACTCAGTGATATTTAGGATACCTATATGCTTGTTTCCTTCCTTTGAAAGAACCCCCTATCTCACGACTGCCAACATTTTTGAACCCCCCCCCCCCCTTCGCGGGCTTTCCTATCTTGGTGTCCGGCACACTGCTCAATGCACCCCCTATCTATGATATTCAAGATATTTTATACCCCCTTTTAAAATTTCTCAGGAGTCCAAAGAGAGAGAGAAAAAACACCCCCTTTTAAATATTTTATAACCCCTCTTTTAAATTTCTCAGGAATCCAAATAGAGAGAGAGAAAAAAAAACACACCCCTTTTAAAAGAAATCTCCGATGAATTGTCAAATACACCACTTTAAGAAGCAAAACATTCTCGGGCCGGACTTTGTCGCGCGAAAAGTACCCCTTTACCGGAGATTTTGGGAACACGAAATGCAGTCCCTCCAACCATGCTCCAACCCCAGAGTGGCCCATGGGGGGAGTGGGCCGGATCCACCATAGAGAGCGCTTTAAAACGTCACGCCATTAAAATCCACGTTTCAACAGGTACACCGAGCTCAGAGCGAGGTCGGTGTTTTGCTCATTATTGTTGGGTCGAGTAGAACAATCAATCGGCTGCGAATTTATAAAGTCGACCGACGCGTATTATTCAATAGGGACTTTTAGATGTGTGTGGACTAAAAGTGCATTGCATTAAATGGACGTCGATCGTAGCAATCAACATTTGTCTTCGTGCAAATCTAAAAGTCCCTATTATTACTGTATTAGTCAACGAACTACACAGTTGGTGTAAAATATGCCTTGCTCGTTGCCCATTCCAGCATTGGCTATTTAGGCTTTCCAACTACTACTTTCACCGGTTCTCTGCAATGTGGCGTTGCTTCCGTTAGCATGCAGTCAGCCCAATGAACTTATCCATGTATTTTTGATGCGTTGTCTCTCTCTGATAAACGACTAGTTTTCCCAAATCCGTTCTTTCCCGCTGCTATCGGAAGATACGAAATGTTTTAAGGACCTCGCATGTACAAGGGTAAGTATTAAAGTAACATTGCTTTGTTCAATATTTCAGTTTAAAGATAAACTTGAGTACTGATAATGCGATTGCATTGTGAAAGAAAAGGTGTGGAATGGATCAGAAAAGTTGATCATATAGCATGTAAGTAATGGTGTGTAATGCAAGGTTCTAGAGTCATCAAAATCATCATAAATGTGGCAGAGTCTTGGTAAAGTAACAATCACACAGATAGATGTATATGGGGCAACACATATGGTGTCGGGGCTAGTACTACCCTGATTTCCTTATCTTTCTATGCTCATTACTCAGCCAGTATACATTTTCTTCCAAAATTGTTTGGCACATGACATTTATTTGTAATCTTGAACATTTAGTGTAAGTTTCGTTAGATTCTGTGAGAATTCATTTTCTTTTTTTACCAGTACTCAAGTTTATCTTTAACTTTTATAGGAACACTATTCAGGTGACCTCAAACATGTCAAGAATCCTACCTGCCTCTCTGGCGATACGTACAAGCAGGGAGGTGAAAGAAAGGAGGTGAAACTCTTGTAATTTATTCCTAAAGTTGGCTAAAGTAATACTTTTGAAAAAAAGGCTTGACAAAGAGAGACCCAGCGACCACAAGAAGTTGATTTTCATTCGTAAACATTCTTATTCTGTATTTTTAAAAAATCATTACCTCCTTTTTACTTTCGTATATTTTGTATCTTTAAAACATGCTAAATATACTTATATAGACTTAAAAATAAAGAAAACGTAAAGTTTTTTGTTTTTGTTTTGATTTTGAATATCCCGTGGAATAGCAATACTCATTATTGAAGGGCCACCTGGCATCCATAAGGCTGAAATGGATAAACGAAATGGATAAATACAATATAAATAAAACAAAGAAATCAGAGGACAAAGCAAAGTTTACCGAACATCGGACACCATGGCCCCGTCTTAGTTCAGTTTCAATTTTTTCATTAATTTTTTTTTCTTCATTTTTTTCATTTACATTCATTGCATAAACCAAATGCAATAAACAATAAGAATTACAAGAATTGTGTATTGAATTGGTGTAAAAATACATACACTTGTATCAGGCCGTGAAAGCAAAAAAAATACAGTCGAATAAACATAAGGAGATATGAAATGCAATTGCACGGTATTTTAACTGAAATTAGACAAATATTATTGTGGTGAAACATAGGAGGAATCTAGTAAACAGCTAAGCTTCAACACTGGTGGTGATGGTCAGGCGCGTACACAGGGGGGGGGGGGGGGGGGGGGGGTGGGGGTTAAAACCCCCCCTTTGGTAATTGTTTGTGTGTAAACCCCCCTAAATTTCTCTAAAACCCCCCCCCCCCCTTTTGGATTTTTTAAAACATTTTTTTATATATATTCCCATGGTTGACCTAAAAAAGCTGACCTTACCCCCCCCCCCCCCAACGGAGCAAATTATCAAATTTTCGAATTTCGAGACCAAAAAAAAAAAAAGTGTCCTCTCACCCCCCCCCCCCCCCCCCCCCCCCCCCCCACTTATTCAGCGGTCGGCTGAGTCGTTGCGATTTTTTTTGGGACCAAAAAAAAAAAAAAAAGGTGACCCCCCCCCCCCCCCCCCCCCCCCCCCCCCGCTTATTCAGCGGCTGGCTGAGTCGTTGCGAAATTTTCGGCCCGATTTATAAATGTTAAACCCCCCCCCCCCCTTGAAAAAATCCTGCGTACGCGCCTGGTGATGGTGGTAATGGTGGTGGTAATGTTTTTATTAAAAATTAATTGGCAGCCAGATGGCTGAATTGCAAAATTGTGTACATTGCGTAAAAACATACATAATTATACAAACATAATTTAACTACAGTAAAACTATCCAGCAAATCGTATTAAGAGATAACGCACATTGATTGGATTATCTAAATAAATCAGTTATACACCTACATATAAATTAATAGAGTTGCCAAACAGGTGGCAATTGCTTAATCTTTTCCACAATCATATATGACAAGATTGTTCTAAATAAGAGAGAAGAGAGATCAAAATTAAAGTAAGGAGGGAAAGTACAGACAGCACAGGAGATCCAGGAAAAGTGTGAGAGATAGAGAAAGGGAGATATTTAGGGAGAAAGAAAGAGAGACAAAGTGAGAGATAGAGAGAGATATACATGTAAGACAATGCTAAGGATGAAAATGCATAAAAGTAATATCTACAACTTTCCTGACATTTGAGAGAATACTGGTTGTAGATCCATTAGTTACAAGTAAATTTTACATTTTTTATTAATGAGCTATGGCCATATTTGTAAATTGATAGGTACTAATAATATGCAATAAAATTTAAAAAAAACATGAAACTTGGTAATTTAGAGGTTTTGGGGTAATAATTATGTGATAAGTATGTTTTCCATCAATACAAAAATTAACCATAAACATACTAAAGTTATATACTCTTTCACATAAAATAAAATAACTCTACAATTTCTCTTCATCATAAGTTGACATGTTAGTGTGTACAAAATGCAAGATCAGTACTGTGAAATCAGCAAGTCAATTAAGTAGGGAACTGGATTGTTACGAAATCGTTTGGTTTTACATTTTAACTGCTCTCTAGTATTTGATTTGCGTAGGTTTATAATGTTCTATACAAGGAGGCCTGAGATAAGATTCTTTCTCATTTAAAATCAGTTTCTCAGCAAAATTCATACACAGTTCCCTCTTTCTGTCAGCCAAAGAGGACAGATTCATAGATTCAGGACGGTCTCATATGACTGGTAATTATGTTCTAAGATTATTCTCAGGTTCGTTTTTTCATCCTTTCTCGACGATCTCATTGTTCTTTAATTAGGCCCCCGTTCCACATACCCTAGGAGAGGTTCGAGGAAACCGGTCTAGATGTTCTTTTTTGGTAAAATTATATTTTGTTATTATTTTCTCTCACTAAATCAAATACATATTGTACAAGTCATTCATATTAAACAAAATTGTACATAATTCTTCATAACAAAATTGTACATATTCTTCATAGCAAAACTGGATGAACTGTACATTGATATTAGTGGTGCGGATATCTTCGATTGGCAGTTCGTGACATTTCACGGTCCTACTAAGATGTATCCTTCCATTGGCACGTTTTATCATGAAATCAATATGCATATGATCACTCCACTCTAAATCACAGCTGATATAAACTCCTAACAATTTGACAGACGTTGATTGCTTTAGAGGGTGTTGATCTATTTCCAGTGACATGGTTTTGGGGCTTTAAAAAAAATCACACCTGCATACCCTCACATGACTTTGTAGCAGGGTTAAGGCCCGGGCAGCGCTCAAAATACACGGGGCGATGGGCGATTCGCCCCCGTGAGCTACATAATCGCCCCCGTCAGGTTGCTCACGGGGCCGGCGATTGAAAAATTAAAAATCGCCCCCGTGGAATTATAAAATAAAGATTATCTTTTCTGTTATATAACTTTAACACAATATTGAGTTTCAATTTTCAAACCTTAAACCAATGAAATGAAACTTAGATTAGCGTGCAAGATTTCTCGTTCTATGAGTATTATTACCGATTCAGCTCGCAGTGCAGTGCCGCCATCAGCAGTAGTTATAGGCCTACTGCGCCGTTAGTAACGGTACGTGTTCACGCTGCCGCCCCATATCTGCTGGAGCTGGAGGCGATCGCTCAAGGGCAGAAACATGGTCATGGAGAAGTTTTTCGTCGTGAAAAGCGCAAACCCGCTGAAATCTGGTGATTTTAAATGACCAGCAAATAGTGAACATCGACCAGTAAATCAAAATTAGGGACTTTTAGATTTGCACGACGAGAACGTGGACTGCAACGTGTGACCTCCTTTTAAGGCACTGTCAGTGCTTAAAAGGACGTCACATGATTGTGACTGCCATTGCCTTAAAAGGACGTGACACGTCCACGCAAATCTAAAAGTCCCTATTGGGAAGAAGTGGAAGACCAAGATGTCGTTGAATGATATGGTAACATGGGCAGATCTACGGGGGGGGGGGGGGGTTAGGGGGTTTAACATTTTTGCGCCGACTCAGGCGGCCGGTGAATATTAAAGCGGGGGGATGATGGAGAGGAGGACCACTAATTTTTTAATTTTTTTTTTTAACTCTCACTTTAACCTATCCCATATAACCCTATTTTTTGTGTTGCTGCTTTATATGTAGATGATAATGCATGATTACAATAAATAGAGAGAGCTAGAGAGAGAGAGAGAACCACTATCATTATGCAATGGTTCAGGGTTTATGTAATGTACGTTTGAAACCATTTCTTATCGTCTCAACCCTAAAAAAATAGCGAAACTATTTTTGAGGAAAAGCATTATACTGATCTGAATAAAGAATAATAACTTTATATTGGCTCATACTAATACTGATACGGGCTAAATACAATGTGGTATCGGCACAGTAAGATCGGGTATTTGTATAGAGGTATTCCAAAATGACATTCTGATAATCAACATTTTGTTCTGTTATCATATGTATATACGCATAATACAACTGATCTTTGTGATTTCTTAACGTGACATAGCTTCTTCTCCCCCTGCAAACAAAAAAGAAAACAAGGTTATGTAATAAAAGGATCATGGGACAAAATGATCATTGTGATTCAAATTGATGCAAGGATTTTTTTAAATATCAAACAATGCTTTTCACCAGAATCTTCTTTGTAAAAAGGACTTTTAAAAATCTCAGCCATGCAATTCTGCTACTGTGTTGTAAGATCACTTTCACATTAGGAGAAGTGTATTCTTTGATGAGTATTTTAAATTGAATGAAACGTCTCAACTCAGTAAGCATGGCTAAGATTTGTAAAAGTGGTTTTTACAAAGAAGATTCTGGTGAATAGCAGTGCTTATTCAAACAAATATTCGCATCAATTTGAATCACAATCATTATTTGTCGCTTAATCCCTTTGAATGACCTTGTTTTCTTTCTCGTTTGCAAGGGGAGCGGTATGTCACTGAAACAGCTCCCGTAGGAATTTTGGTTAGGTATTTACGATCAGGTAGAGAGTAG